CTTGCATAATCTCGTCAGTTATAAACTACTCAAAGCATGGAAGTGGTTCAAAAATATTTCGAGACATGCGACTAGGCCCTCTATTGGAATGAACTATATTGATCGCAGATGTTCTTCTGTTATTTTGTCCTTTAGCAGTAGCCCAAACATGCCTATTCTTGCCCCTGATCACATCGTTAGGCGGCGTTGGTCATGTCTAGTATTTTCAGTGACATTCTGCGATGAAGGATCATTCGAATTTTCATAAATCATAGCTTCATCTACGTACTCATCATCAGTATCGCTGTATTGCACATTGTCTTCACTTACATGGTCCTCGATCTCACTGTCACTGCCGACATCTGCGCCTTCATCTTCTTCATTCAATAAAGAAACAATTTCTCTTTCATCCAACACTCTTCTGCTCGCCATGATGCGAAAACGCTCCTAAAAACAATTAATTACAATAAGTATTCACCAATAAAAAAACCTACCTTTAAAACTACATTGGTAAAAAATAAAAAAACAAAATCACTATGAAAGTGGCGAAAGTTACACAGAAGATAAACATGCGCCTCCCGAGCGCAACGCATCGCTCTAACAGCAAACCTCTGGTACTTACCGAACAGAAGCAGCCGTCTCTGGGAAGTGATGACCAAGGACTGAATTGGCGCGGAAACACAAACTTGTATGCGCGTCGGTAACAAAATGGCAGCGAAATATATATTTCGCGGGCGCCTCTGAGGTGCACGTTATCTTTCTAGGGTTAAAGTAGTTAATAATGCTAGTATCATTTCTAAGGCAGATTTTTCTTCCTCTTTATTTTTGTGACCAACCAGAGAACTGCCATTTTTAGGCTCTGGAACTTGGAAGTCTTTTAATACATTATTATGAGCAACACGATCATAACCATGTCGAGCTTTAGGAGGAGAGCGAGGTTTTAAGAATACTGTGTTTTTATATGAGGGATTAGTAGAATTATTTCGGGATACAGACTTCGCTGCGGAAGAATATGCGGGTTTTGGAACTTCCGGAATTGTTGAACTTAATGCATCTGCGTATGAAGGCTTAACATAAGGAAAATATTTTTTGATTGATTTCTGTCTGTCTCACAAATTCTGGACATGATTTATCTATCGCTGAATGGGACCCTTCGTCTTCACACATTACACAGTACAGAGGATCTTCATCTGACCTGTCACATGATACACCTGCATGTTGACCTCCACAGTTATAACATATTGGAGTCTTAGAACGACATTGAACTTTGGTATGACCATAACGTCAGCATTTATAGCATTGTATCGTAGGATAAATATATATCTCTACTGGAAGAGCATTATAGTACATGAAAATCCTTTTTGGTAAAACTTGCCCGTCAAATGTTATTACAACTGATTCAGAGGGTTTCCAAGAAACCGAGTCATAAATTTTTACCTTGCGATTCAAACGTCTTATTTTAAATATTTTGCCGCAGCCTATAGGTACAATCGACTAACTACATTCTACAGGGACCGCGCGAACTAGATCCATTCTTGTTACGCTGAAAGTGGGAACTGGGAATGAAGGCTTTTAACTTTTTCTTTTCCATAAGATTGCAGTTAAGAACATTATTGGCGTCTTTATAATCGGAAAAGCCAACTACGCACCTGTTTCTTCCTATACGCTTTATACGTCCGGGAATAATATTATTAAATTTGTTCTGCTTTAAAAAATTGCCAAATGTTATAGGATGGAGAATGGTCCCGTCGTCAGGTGAAATTTGTAAACGTTGAACATGTATTAAATAAGGGGAAACATCAGTAGGACCATATTCAGTACGGCTAATCGAACGGGAGTCCGTATTGGTTACTGTAGCTTTGGTGTTGTTTGAATTTTCCGCGTTAGAGTATTGAGAGATATTTGAATTTTCCATGAAAGATGTTGATGGTTGGGAGGATGTGTTATGTGAATTATTATTATTTTGCGAGTGTGGAGATGACGTGGATTGAGATATAGGTTTAGAAGAACCTTTTTGATTAAAATTGACTCATCTTCTACATTGCATAAGCTTTCGCACTGATAGTAATCACCGCTAGAACCACTACCTTTCTTTTTCTTAATTTTCGTACATTGCTGACAAAGGCGCAAATAACGTGTTCGTTTACGACTTCCTTCACCTGTCTGAGATGATAACGAACAATCCGTATCCATTTTGTCAAATTCATCTTGTGAACCAACAGATACGTTTGATCCCACAGGGAGATTCAGGCCAACATGGCCATCATCCCCCCGACACAGATCGGGGTGCTTGTTCAACAATATTTACAAAAACTTACCGACTACACGATGACACTATTTTTCCTAGTGGGAGTGCCATGCTGTTGCCTTCGGGCTTCAGCCAAATGGGCAGGCACGACCGGGGCAGTACCACTGTCTCTCAGAAAACCGGCGTGAAGTGATGCAATAAGTTCACCTTATTGTACTCGCGTTTCGTGCGGTGAGAGAGACTCCGGAGCCACCCCTCCCCATGAAATATGAAGGTGCAGAAAAAGAGAATTACATTGCGGTCGACTAGCTGATACCTCTGTACTTTGTTATCGCATAATACTTTGCCACATAATTGTTTACCGGCGATACTCAAACCAGTGTTTCATTAAGTATATGAAATAATTAAGTTCGTACATCTACAAAATTGCATATAAACACCAAACTGCATAAATAAGACTTTAAAACATATTTACAAGTAATTGTTCATAGATATGAGTGTTTTAAGGTCGCCCAATAATGCGATTAGAGGAAGTTCTCAGCCGGATCTATCAAAGATTTCCACCGAAGCAAGTGACACCCAGATTACCTTTCGCAAAAGGAAACAACCATCCGATCGTGACTGTGACTGCAAAACAGAAGTGCAGGAAATGCGAAAGAGATATCACGAATTACTGACCTGTTGGAAAGATTTGTTGATCCAACGAACAAAATATGACAGCTATGCGTGAAAGTATTACGGAATTGAAAAATGAAATTGCACTATAAAATCGACTACCAGTGGTGAGTACCGAACAAATTGCAATAAAATCTCAGATCTCAGAACTTGAAAAATAAAATTTCTTTTGGCGAACAAAAATAAGTCCTTAGAATCCAGATCATAACGTTAAAAACACCTGCAAATCATCCGTATGTACACAACGAATTGAACAAGAAAATATTTTAAAGGAATTATTTGAACGCAACAACTCGAGAGAAAAATATTATTCTGGTAGGACTGCCTGAACGACCATTACCAAGTACTGACTCAGCGTCACCCGGATGAATCTGAAGTCGGAAAATAATATCTACTAACTGACCTCTGCAGCCAGCCAAATTTTTCGTTCGGAAAACAAGATTCTAATAGAAACCGGCTCTAAAAATTTGCTTCAATGATTGTGAACACCTAAAGCACTATTACGCAATAAAGTAAGTTACCTACCGGAATTAAATTTACTCAGATCAAACTCCATCTCAGCAGAAATATTTAAATTGCATTAAGGATGAACTGGCTCGTCGTCAAACAAGTGGGGGAGACTGACTTAACTATAAAATACATAAGAGGCATACCAACGATTATAAAAATAAATCAAAAATCAAAAAACTCCAAACATTAAGCTTTGACAAAAAAAACTTGTAACACACGACCTACTATATAACTATCAAGATCTACAAATTGCAACCTCACGTATGAATTTTTTCTATGCAAATGTTCGCAGTATATGTCGTGCAGGTAAATTTGATGAATTGAAATGCCTACTGAAGTGTATTAAATCCAAGACACATATTATATGTTAACCGAGACCTGGATTAAAAGTGAAGAGCATGCTGTTCATTTCATCTTAATAGTTATACACACTATTACAACCTCAGAACTGATAAAACAGGTGGAGGTGTTTCCATTTTTATACACAATGATTTAAAAACATATCTTAAGTGAATCTACATTCATAGATGGGAATAATTACTTATGGGTAACACTTGTGAACTATTCTCTTGAAATTGGACTTATATATAACCCTGGTAATACTAATTATAAAAAATTTATAGATACATATGAAGCACAGTTACAGAAACGAAACCGTATCATGTTTTTGGTGATTTTAATATAGACTTACTTACTAGAAACAGAAATACCACTTTATACAAGAATCTGCTTAGGGACAAGGTCACAAGCTATTGAATAAAATTGACCCGAGTTTGTACTAGAGAAACCCATACATCAAAGACAATAATTGATCATGTCAGTACAGATTTACTAAATGACAACTTTCACTTATCAATATTGGATTTACCTATGGCTGACCACAAACAGATTTATTTGCAATTAAAAAAAATTAAACAACTCCGAAGAGCGAATTCAATATGAGCTATAAATTATGAAAATTTATTCAAAAGATAGCAGATGTCAACATTAAGATCCAGGTTTTGAATACACAGTTCTTGATGACTTAATAAAGCAAAACGTTAAAAACAACAAAATAACAAAAGACAAAAATTTTAAATGCTCCACGAAATGACTGGATTAATAAGGAAATAATTAATATTATAAATGATAGGAATGACCTGTGGAAGAAATACAAAAATAACAGAGACAATTCTCGTATAGAAAATGAATTCCATAAAATAAAAGAGTCTGTAACTAAAGTTATTAAGAAAAACTAAGGATAGTTATTATTACAGCCAATTTCTAAAATGCACAAATCCAAAGAAAATGTGGAGTCTATTGAAAGAACTTGCCGCTAACAAAAAGAAAGATACCATTGCTCCCACAAAGCTGAATGTTAATTCATATATAATAACTGATCCCATTCTCATTTGTGAGTCTTTTAATAATTTCTTTTCTACTATTGGGTTAAATCTCACTAATCATCTACGTAATAAACAAAACAATTTCAATCTAACCGTACCAAATAACAACATACAAATTATTTTAAATATTCTTAGACCGTGTACAGCTCAGGAAATTTCCCAAATTATTAACAATCTTGACCCAAACTGTAGTTCAGGTATAGATGGCATCACAACCAAAATCATTAAATGTATTAAAAGTCAGATTCTTTGATAACTTAACGTCCTGTCTTAACGAATTACTCAGGGACGGCAAGTTCCCTGATAACTTAAAGATCGCCAAGGTCAGTCCAATATACAAATCTGGGCCCAGAGATGATCCGGGTAACTACAGACCCATCTCGGTATTGCCGGTTATGTCCAAGATATTAGAAAGAGTTGTATACACGCGCTTATTAGACCACCTAAATAATATAAACTTTTTATACGAACACCAATATGGATTTAGATCAAAATCTAATACATTATCAGCTACAATTAATCTCATTACAAAAATTAAAACTAATACCGACCAAAGGAAAATTGTCCTTGTAGTATTCATTGATATAATGAAAGCTTTCGACACAGTTTGCCACTCGCTTCTCGTAGAAAAGCTGGAAACGATTGGAATAACTGGCAATGCCTTAAAAATGTTCAAATCATATTTAAAACAATAGATCCCAAGTAGTTAAAATTAATGATTGTCAAAAGTAAACTCTTACCTATCTCTTGTGGAGTACCACAGGGGATCAATATTGGGCCCATTATTGTTTTTAATTTATTTAAATGACATACAACACCTTAACTTGCATGGACAGATAACCTTGTATGCGGATGATACCTGTCTCCTATACATGGTTCATCTGTGCATGATATAATTTCTCGAGTGAAAAGGACCTTGACTATCTTTACTTGTGGTTTCAATCGAAATTGCTAACTATCAACACTGCTAAAACATCGTACTTAATTTTTAAACCTAAAAATGTTAAAATCCCACCACATTCGCCTATAACAATAAATAATGTACCACTAATTGAAAAGAAAAGTGAAAAATATCTTGGATTATATATTACAATAACTTAACATGGACAACGCACATAAATCATTTAATAACTAAATTATCTTCTTTAAGAGGTTCCCTTAGACACATAGTTCGAAGCCTTCCTCGTGAAGTTCGTCTTCATATTTATAATTCTTTGGCAAAAATCACACCTTCTTTTACCTTATTGAAATTTGGGGAGCCGCGACTAAAACTAATATTTCTCACCTTCAAATTGCTCAAAATAAAGTAATTAAATTGCTTTTTCATTACCCATACTTAACTTCTACACAAAAAATTTACAGTGAAACAAAACTCATGAATATTAAACAATTATTCCAAATAACACCAGCTACTAATATACAAAATTCTAAACGACCACATACATACTAACATTACCTTTACTAAAATAAGCCAAATTAGAAGCGCACTTCACGACGCCCTCACAATCTTGTTATACCGAAGTTTAGAACTAATAACGGTAGAAAAACATTGAGCGTTGGGGGAGTGTTGCGTTACAATAGACTACCACAAAATATAAAAAGTGCAGACAGCCTGGCGATATTTAAACTTAAACTAAAAGACCATCTTCTGAGTGATCCTAATTACCTACGCAAATGACAGTCCACCCAAATTATCTTCGATGATTGATCCTTGACGCTTAAACACGACGTGATAAATTGTATTTTTAGTCTATAAGTCTCATGTAAGTGACCATTGTCTGTAATGAGAAAATAAATGTCTTTAAACCTAATCTACCCCAGGGGGTCCACAGCGCTCGCGGTGGAGAATCCCCTCTGGGCGTCCAACACCGGGACATTCAGGCACCCGGTGGTGGACGCACAGGCTGCCCTTCGTATTCTGGGGGGCAATTCTGGCTCAACATCAAAACAGTTATCGTTCTCGGGGCAACGCTGGCGCGGCCTTGCTTTTCTTACCGAGACTAGATTTCCTCCCCGGCTGATACTTCCTACCTCTCCTACCCGGGGTACAAATTGGAACATTATTGTGCCGCGGGCGGAGTTTGCGTGTACGTAGAGAGGATACTGTCTCGTCGCCTCGGGACGCTTGAAGGAAGGGACCTACTAACCTCTGGCTGCGCGTAGACTGCGATGACCATCCGCGATTCTATGCATGTATGTATAGGTCCCATAGCGGAATCGAAACTGACCGACTCATTGAGGCACATCCAAATGGCTACAGATTCCCTGCTCGAAAGGGTTCCTACCGCTGAAATCGTGATACTTGGCGATTTTAAGCCCACTGCCGATTGGTTGACTCAGAAACCACCGATCAGCGGGAAGATCCTTTCACGACTTTGCTTTGGCTTATGACTTGACGCAAATGGTCCCTGCGATTACGCGATACCAGATGTGGATGGTCATAAACCCTCTTTGTTGGACCTTCTGCTGACTTCAATCCGAGAACTACTAAGTCTCTGTTGAACCGCCATTGGGTTCATCAGATCATTGTGTGGTCCGGAAGCATTGTGCCTTACGCGCCTTCTTCGGCCTAGCTTCACGGGCTGTCGCCGGTGTGGCACTATAAGTCAGCGATTGGGATGGGATGCGGTTTTTTTGCGTCCTACCCTTGGGGGCCCATTTGCTTTCGTCGAGTACTCCAGATGCCGTCGCTGACTCTGTCGCCGAGGTGGTCCTGCAGGGTATGGAACTCTTTATTCCATTCTCTGCGGTGCCGGTCGGTGGCAAGTCCCAGCCTTGGTTTAGGCGTTCCTGCAAAGCGGCTTTGCGCCGTAAGCGTGAATGCTTTAAAGCCTGGGCAGAAGCGGTGACATCCTGTGATGTGACTATCGGCAAACGTAAAAAAGCATACAATTCAGCCTCCAGGTCTTTCAAGCGAGAAATCGCTAAAGCAAAGTCAGAGCACATTGCCAGATATGGTGAGAAATTGGCCCACCTCCCTTCGGGAACTCGAGCCTTCTGGTCTCTTGCCAAAGCTGTCCAAGGGAATTTCTGTCAGCCCTCAATTCCACCACTGCATAGGGAGGATGACTCACTTGCCCATACCGCGAAAGAGAAGGCCGATCTTCTAGGCTGTCTCTTTGCGTCGAACTCCACTTTGGATGATCAAGGGAAGGAACCACCGACATTATTGCGGTGTGATACTACGATGCCCGAAGTTATATTCCGGCAACGTGCTATCCGTAAAGCTTTGTCTTCCTTGGACATCCATAAGTCGAGCGGGCCTGATGGCATCCCTCCAATTGTGCTGCGTACTTGTGCTCCTGAGTTGGCTCCGGTCCTAACGCGCCTTTTCCGGTACCTTTACACGCTCGGCACTGTTCCGAAGTGCTGGAAGATCGCTTCGATACATCCGATCCCTAAAAAAGGCGATCGCTCTGATCCGTCCAACTATCGCCCAATAGCTATAACCTCCTTGTTCTCCAAAATAATGGAAACCATTATTAACAGCCAGCTCTTGAGGTATCTAGAGGGCCACCAGCTGATTAGCGATTCTCAGTACGGCTTCCGTCGTGGTCGCTCGGCTGGTGACCTCCTTGTATACCTTACACATAGGTGGGCAGAGGCAATTGAGTCCAAGGGGGAGGCGCTGGCGGTAAGTTTGGACATAGCGAAAGCCTTCGATCGGGTGTGGCACAGAGCACTGCTCTCGAAGCTTCCAGCCTATGGGCTCCCTGAGAAATTATGCACCTGGATTTCCAGCTTACTCGCTGATCGGATCATCAAAGTCGTCATCGACGGAGCATGCTCCGACCTGAAACCTGTGAATGCTGGTGTCCCACAAGGCTGTGTCCTATCCCCGACCCTGTTTATTCTGCATATCATTGATATGTTGCAGCTTAGCAACATTCATTGCTATGCGGACGACAGCACTGGGGATACTTTTTACACTGGCCGGGCAGGTATTTCTCGGGCTGTTGTCGATGAGTACCGGAACAAACTTGTATCTGAAGTCGAAACTCTTCTACGTGGAGTCTCGGACTGGGGTAGACTAAATCTAGTCCAATTTAACCCCAAGAAGACACAAGTATGCGCGTTTTCCGCTAAAATAACTCCCTTTGTCGCTACTCCCCTCTTTGAAGACACTCTCCTTAAAGCCTCAGCTAGCATCGGAATACTGGGCGTTGACATATCGAATAACGTTCAGTTTCGCGGTCATCTGGAAGGAAAGGCTAAATTAGCCTCCAAAAAGCTTGGTGTGCTCAGCAAGGCGAGACGGTACTTCACTCCGGGCCACCGCTTGCAACTATATAAAGCGCAAATTCGGCCCCATATGGAGTACTGCTCTCACCTCTGGGCGGGAGCTCCCCAGTACCAGCTCCTTCCACTTGACCGTATTCAACGAAGAGCGGTTCGAATCGTCGACGACCAGTCACTTTCCGTGCGGCTTGATCCCTTGGCGTTGCGTAGAGATGTGGGATCTCTCTGCATCTTCTACCGCATTTACCATGGAGAGTGTTCAGAGGAGTTGTTCGGTCTAATACCTGCAGCTGAGTTTCATCATCGGACGTCAAGGCAAAATACAAAATACCATCCGTATCACCTCGACGTCCGTCGTTCCACAACAGAGCGTTTTCTAAGGCAGTTTTTGCCGCGCACCACCACTATGTGGAACCAGCTGCCCACAGAAGTATTTCCGAACCAATTCGACTTAGGGTCCTTCAAGAAAAGAGCGTACCAATTCCTGAAAGGCCGGCAACGCACTTGCGAGCCTTCTGGCATTGTGAGTGTCCATGGGCGGCGGTATCACTTAACATCAGGTGAGCCTCCTGCCCGTTTGCCTCCTATTACATAAAAAAATAAATAAAAAAAAACACAAATATGATATAAAGATTACATATAATAAAAAATTAAAACTACCAGCTTATCCTCTGCGTTTTAACTAGTAAAATTAAATTAAATTTTCACCACCTTGAAAAAAAAAACCCATGAACGAAGTTTCTCGCGCTTTTTCCAAGTTTTACTTCCTAATTCCTATATAAATTTGTCAAATGTACCTTTGTCCGCTGACAGCTGACAGTTGTCACACGTAAAGTATAAATAAGGAATTACTTATTACATTAATAAATTGTCAATGAAAAATATTTTTCATATGAAATTACAATATTGAACAATACTGAATAATTACAAGTTACAAGATGCAATATAATTAGTAAATTATATTTCTCAGTTGCTTTCAAGGATATGAACCATGAAATTAAATAGTTTAAATCTATTGCATATTATAAAATTCAAATACGAATACCTCAGTAACCAAGTGTCATTTACGAAGTGCACAATCTGTTATCAATTTCTAATACGATTACGTGTTTTATAATATTATTATTAGCATATCAAAGGAAAACACGAGAATATATGACACAGTAATATAGATTTGCGAGAGTAGCGCTTTTGAAACTTTAATGGTGTAAAAACCATGTCATTTTATTCATATCCTTGGAGAAAATTAATTTTATAATTCTAGTCAAAAATGAAACCCTCTAATAACATGAAAATGAGTGGGCTGCCAGGAAAAGTTATGTGTGTTATATGTACATTAAGTGTAATGCTTATTATTACCAATGCTCATAAGATTATTCATATAAATAAAATATCTGTTGCAAGTGATAATCCAGTGGTTGACTATGTGGATGATAATATAGATTTAGTAAGAACTAAGCGTGATGTGGTACAAAATGTCTCGAGTTCAAGTGAGCCTCCAATAACGTTGTCTACAACTAATAACACTATCAATGTCTCATCAGAGAGTCCCAATATAATATATGAGGTTGGGCCATCTAATTCTTCAATACTGTCAGTTGTCCAAGTAAATGTGTCTTCATCAGCTTCACCCAATGCTTCATCAAGTTCTTCAGACGTAGCTGCTCTCCCTGGGAAAGGCTCAGCAGAAGATGAACATAACAGCTCTATGGCAATTTTCTTTGTACTATGTATTTTGGCTCTTGGTATATTATTGATACACCTTATGCTTCAAACAGGTTTTTCTTATTTGCCTGAAAGTGTGGTGATAGTATTTTTAGGTGCTCTAATAGGGATGATTATTAATTTAATGTCTATTAGAAACATAGCAAATTGGAGAAAAGAGGAGGCATTTTCACCAACGGCTTTCTTTTTAGTTTTGTTGCCTCCTATTATATTTGAATCTGGCTACAATCTTCATAAGGGCAATTTTTTCCAAAACATTGTATCTATTTTATTGTTTGCCATTGTGGGCACAGCTATATCAGCATTTGTAATTGGGGCTGGAATTTACTTGTTGGGATTAGCTCAAGTTGTTTATAAGTTGAGTTTTGTAGAATCCTTTGCATTTGGATCTCTCATATCTGCTGTTGATCCAGTGGCAACTGTCGCTATATTCCATGCTCTGGATGTGGACCCAGTTTTGAACATGTTGGTATTTGGTGAGAGTATATTGAATGATGCAGTTGCTATAGTACTGACAACAGCTGTCCTTGACTCAAATGATCCTGTGATGTCCACGGCAGATGCCATATTGTCTGCTATCAACCGGTTTTGGTTGATGTTCTTTGCATCAGCAGGAATTGGGGTTCTATTTGCTCTAATTAGTGCACTTTTGTTAAAACATGTTGATTTACGGAAAAACCCATCCCTTGAATTTGGAATGATGCTAGTCTTTACCTATGCTCCATATGTTTTAGCTGAAGGAATAAATCTATCAGGTAAGTTAAGTTATATTATTTTCTATTCATTCCTTATAATTAGAAAAAGTTAAAAGTCATAAAACAAGCTAAAAATAGAACTTTTTTCATAGTATATTGTGCTGAAGGTTAAAAGTATTGACAAATTAAATAGTTTCAACATAAACATGTTTAATGACTGGCCTTGACTTGTCATTCACTTTGTTACTCTAAAGTACTACATTGAGTACAGACTGGCTGACTTTTTTAAAATGATTACAATCTAACTTTACACTGAAATATTTCATTTATTATATAAAAAAAATTTCTTATATACATTTAATATCCATATTTTTAATAATGTCTTGTTTTATATTAAATTACTGACGATTTTATCAATATATTTTTCATTTCTATACTTAAGTAATTGTTACAAATATCTTCATGTTTTCAGGCATTATGGCAATATTGTTCTGTGGTATTGTTATGTCTCACTACACACATTTCAATCTTTCCACTGTTACTCAAGTGACTATGCAGCAAACAATGAGAACTCTTGCATTTATTGCTGAAACCTGTGTGTTTGCTTACCTTGGACTTGCTATATTTAGGTAAGTCATCAAATAAGTAATAAATATCTAAAATTGTCCATCTTCGTAACTCAGTGTTATAGGGCTGATTTATTTCTATTCCATCGTAGGTATGAGTTCCAGGAAAGAAATTAGTCAATATTTGCATATGTTTTCTAGGATCACATCAGACTTTAAAAAATAAAACTTCAATGCAAATAAATGGTTTATGTAGCCTTTACTTTTAAAACTTAACTGAAATTTATTTATATATGTATAACCATATATAAAATTATCCTGTCATAGTGTTCATAACCAAACTCATCCGAAATAGCGTGACTATTCGGTAGGTTTGAGAATAAGTAGTGTTTTTTTATACCCATAAAAGTGGAACATGCCAATTTTTTTTATGATTTGGAATTTAAAAATAGATATTGACCTTAATTTGCACCCTTCTACTACGAACCCCCTTTTTTAATAGCGACAGTACTGTAAAAATCTTTATATGGCAAAAAAACATTTGCGGGGTCAGGTAGTATTACTATAAAAAGGATGTAGGTATATTAGAATGTAGACATTTCACATTTACTAGCCAGTAGCTAATAAAGATTTACACGGTGATATTTTTCAGTTTTCGACATCGTGTAGAACCAGCTTTAGTAGTGTGGAGTATTATTCTAAGTTTGATTGGTCGAGCCGCCAATATTTTTCCACTTGCTTTACTGTGCAATAAATTCCGCGAACACAAAATAACTAAAAAAATGATGTTTATAATGTGGTTTAGTGGTAAGTAATAAAACAATTATATTTAATCCTAAACGAACTTAATAAAAAACAAAAACGAACTTATTTGTGGATCTGTTAGACATTTTTGGACTGTTTAAAAATATTACATACACAACATAGAACCTGAATAAAATAATATATTTTACATTACAAAACATGACTAGCGCCCGTACTCTGTAAGTTCCAGCAGTGACGCAGTTCTCTCAATATCCCTAGCATTGAAATCGCAACATTGGGAACACGTGGTACAAAAACTTTCATTTATTTATAGTACAAATTTACAGGTCTGCGTGGCGCCATCTCGTATGCGTTATCTCTCCATCTTAATTTCTCCGATGAGACGCGCCATGTTATAATTACGACTACCCTTATAATCGTGTTATTTACAACTCTGTTCTTCGGTGGTTCAACTATGCCGCTACTTAAATTTTTGAGGGTAAGTAAATTATTATCTTATAACATTTCTCCTAAATTTAATAAACAAAACCGGCAGAGCGGTTATGCGAATTAATATAAGTCTGATTTGCGTCATTTCGTTACCCATCAACAAATGACGTACATTACACAAAAAAAACGTGTGTGTGTGTACTTATGTACACGCGTTAGAAGTTATACTTCTTTGGCGTAATAATTTTCTTCCCTCTTCAAATTGTATTTTTCTTGTCCATTTTAATGGTCACTTCCAATCGAAACGATATAATATGTACTAATCATGACATTTTACAATAACCACTATGTTTTTTCAAATTTTTTGATCTTTTTAAAATCTAAATCTCAAAATTTTTGAAATCATTATTTTGGTTTAAATATGTTTATTTACGATTCTGAAAAACACTACGCCATGACAGACGATGCAACTTGTCGATTAAACACAGCAAGCTCCAACTAGCGGCCCAGACTGTTTTACCGACGTTTGAACAGATATTCAGGGTGTCGATTTTTTGTGACGGTGTGCGCTCGCATCATAAAAATTTACTCTCACCATTTTTCCCTAACCCTCCAAAACAAGTATTATAACTTCAAAAATTTTATATATTTTATACTAGTAGACTCGGCCAAGCGTTGCTCTGGCTAAGATTTTTGTTATATTACATAGTAGTAAACTATTCAAGGGAACCGGTAGGAGAACTTATGTGAAAGGTAGATGACAGCTTATGTGAAACGTTGATAATTTTAACACAGCGCCATCTGCTAGAATTGTATCAAATAATAAACAAATATTTTGCAATAAATTAAAATTGCGACTATAATTTGAGATTTAAACTATCCTATCTCTCAAGTTGGATCGAACTGCACATGGTGTGCAAATTTGATTGATATCGGTTCGGTAGTTTAGGAGTCCATTGAGGACAAATATTGTGACACGAGATTTATATATATTAAGATATCAGGATTACTATCGAACTATAGTGATGTAGGTAACAGTGTTAACATAAAAATACTAATTTAGCATGGCCACTATCTCATCCCACGAAGGTTCTCTTTCCGGACAGACTAAAGGCTCACCTAGATGGAAACAGTTTCTCGTCTTGAAGGTACGATAATCGAAAGAATATAAAAAAGTTTCTTTGTCTAAAGATTCACACCTCTAGTTCTTTCACTTTGGCGACAATTGCCTCGCATTGGAAAATTTATTGTGTCCGTGTAAACAGAATTTCAGAAGCAATAACCGTATTTCGAGGTTTTGTGCCAGTTGCTACCATGAGTGCAGTGCGTGAGGGTGTTTTAATTATTAATACAAGAATTAATTAAACGGAAAAAGTCTTTTTGGGTTAAAAAACGGGGTTAAATAATATTGTTTTCCGTGCTCCACAAACACTCGTAACTTCTATAAAGATCAATTAAGTTAATATTATCGGCAGCTCCAAAATTAAAAGGATTTTTGTGTAATTTTTGAGACAAAAACCTACATACAATACCCTAGTAGTCACTAAACTCGAATAAAACATCTCGCAATCAAAACGGTTCAAACCGAGATCGTGTTTATACTAGTCGAGATTCTCGTAAGTAAGAATCTGCTTACTAAAATATCGATGTGTTAACAGACGCAGACAATTATCGCCTAGCGATAATAATTTAAAATTATGTAATCATAGGAAAATGTTATCGTATTTTTTCAGGCTAACAAGAAAACCAAACGGCCTCGTTCGTTACGTAAACCCAAAGAAGTAAGTCTGTCGAAAACCAAAGAATGGGGTCAGGCTATTGACTCGGAACATTTGTCTGAAATCACCGAAGAAGAGCTGGAGGTAAGAAACCTTTTTGAATACGAACCATAAAATTTATTTTTTTCGTCTTTGAACATAGCGTTCTACTAACTATTGGCTGTTCACTAGATTTATCAACATACGTGCGAGGGTGGGTACCCTCATTTTTATACGTAAAAATAAACAATGTCGTTTTAAATGTCCTACCTAATCAAAAAAATGGCAACGACCTGTAGTTAACTCGCATATTTTAGTGTGCTTAGAAGCATTATATTCACCACGGATCTACATGTGAATTTCACTCAAGGTTTAATGTTAGGATACGTATTCAAATGTGACACAAAACTCGTCGGGAGTATTTTTTAAGTAAATCTGTGCGTACCTTAACATCACAATTTTATTGGACTCACCCAAACTTGTCTCCAGCCGGTCGATCAGCACCATTTTGTTGGTGGAATACCTATTCAATGTAGGTCACCGCGTGGTCACTCGAATAGTCGACCATATCGCGAAACAAGTCGTGAAACGTCCTTATTCCAACACACTGAAGAGGAAGTCGGTCCTTAAACTCTTCCCATGTACGAACACAACACACCACACACACCACACTCACAACGGGTACGAACATGGAGCCCACGACAATAACAGAACAAACGACGGTAGATAAATCTCACTAGATTTTAGCGTCCTTTTATCACCCACACTCGATGGTTTCTCTTTTAGAAGTTCTAAGTATTTTGGAAGCCTGCCATCATATTTTGAAATTTACTTCATAATTAGGTGTGAAATATTCACGATTACCAGTAGCAGGCATTGCGGTAGGTACGCAGGATGAATTTTGTATCGATCCCACTTCTGATGTCGGAGATTCAACGCGATTAATAATTACAAAGTTGGTATCACTACCGTCGTCCGACATTATTACTTAATATTTAAACACAGTCAGTGCGCACGTCCGGCGCAGGCGCCGATCGGAAAGCAACTCAAGTCTCAAGCAGTGTTCACAACCTGAAGCCAGGCAGTTATCGTACCAGGGCCGTAAAATTATCGTATTTGTGATCCATATACGATAAATTATCGTACAGTCAGGAAAATGGCTAAAAATACTTTAAGAAATCATATGAAACGTGAAAATAAAATGTTGCAAACGATTTATAGTTTAAATCTTGTAAACTTGTGTTTTTCAAATTGAAAAAAATAATAATAATTCAATTTAAATGTTCAAATGGCACAGACCCGAGCTGGGCCCTCGTCCACTTCGAGTGTGATTAAGGCGCCAACATTTCAAATTTATAAAGAACAAAATAATGTTAAAGGATAGAGACACATGAAAACAAGCATATTTTTAAAAGTTTAACTGAATATATTTGCGAGAACAGAATACGCAAATATTAATGAAACTTAACGTTTTATATACAACTTTTAATCTCTTCCGTCAAAGAGGAACAAAAATACGCAATATTTTCTCGTTTAACAATATGGTGTTCGCTCTAAGTGATATACCTATTGTCCGTAAACATCGTATATTATTTTTATCACTTAAAATTCGTTAGGTATTAAAATGCTATCGAAGACTTCCGAATCAGCGTCACCATACAAATCGTGAATTTTTTGGCTGTGCATTCTGATGCGTTTTTGTGTTTGTACATTAACGCTTTGTTCATCCGCTGTAGTCGCCTTGTGACAGCATATGTTCCTAATAGAAAAATAAGCCAATAGATGGCACTGACACTAAACACTGTAATTGTTATTGGGCTATCTGTGTAATCATCACATTTTTTATCAGAATGGAAATTATCGTACAATCTGCGTACGATAGTCGTGTACCATCGTACATAATTATGAGATTATCGCACATGTACGATAATTATCGTACGGTTGTGAACACTGGTCTCAAGCTCTTCACGATCGATTCTACGCACTACTTGACTTTGACAATTGACACATTGACACTACAACCTGTAAGATGTCTATGATATTGCGTGGTGTTGCCATTGTAATCAAACAAATTACACCGTGTTCTATTATATCCTAATCTCTGACATGCATATAAATTTTTATTGTAATTGAAACAATGTTTCAGGTGAATTATTCTCATGCGACCAGAATGAAAGGTTTCGTGCGCCTCGACTTGAAGTACCTAACACCATTTTTTACTCGACGATTTACACATCAGGTAAACTTCACAAACCTTCCAAACAAAACACCTCCCAAACATTAATGTTTTTAATGAAATTCTAAAATTGAAGTGAATTTATCACTCCAAGATCATGCTGTTCAAATATGATCAGATAAAAAGTTGTTTATTATGATATTGAAACCTTGATAAATAGACATTAAGTACATCGTAGTACTTACGATAAAAAATATTATATTTATTCAGATATCTTTTAAAGTCCGATTTTGCCGACTATTTATATTTAAGTAAAAGATTGCTGCTTCTTACGATTTAAATTCCTATGATTGTTTTTCTAATGTTGTTATAATTGAAATTATTTCATTTGGAATTAATATTTAAATAAGAATTATTTTTACTACTGTGCTTTATTAGCCCCTTTTTAAAACCCAACTTGTGCAGGAGTTGTTTTGGTCATGTTAAAGTTAAACCTTTTTTATTAGTGATTGTCTCAAAATATCCTTTTACTTATATTTTCATACTTCAGACCCTTGGAATAAATGTGTTTTGTTTCTTACATGTTGTTGCCTAGTTACATTTAATTAAAGGCAATGAGGCTGCACTGCCTTTACATTTGTTACCGTGTTTTATGCAATAAACATTTTAATAAAATACTATGAATATTTATATATGTTACAGGAATTGAAAGATTGCAAAAGTCAAATGACAGATCTGACAAACCAATGGTACCAAGGCGATTAGGATTTCCAATGACCATGACACAGATGAAGAAGAGCTACAGCAGAATTCTTTAAATAACTCACAGTCAAGCTTACAAAGAGTCATTTAGATGAAAATTTTATTTTATTGCTTAATAGTTAAATTTCTTCACATTAAATGATAAAAAAAATCCATAAGTCAATGTAAAATTCTAAGACTTTTGGAGCTTAAATGTAATGGTTCTAGATATATTACTATGTTATCAGTATTTTATGATATGTCACTAAGGCATATATTAAGAGCTATTTGCCTCTATTATTAATTGATAAAAATTGACTTAAAAGTATTATGTTTTTTTAAATAGTTATTATGGATATAATATGTGCTACCGTCAGAGAAACACACGGCTACCAGTGACGCCATACATTCATATATAGTTATGGTAAAATTTGCTTATACAATGCTTTATTTTTAATAATATAGATGTCTATAGTAAAATGTATTGTAATATCATTCCTAGTTGTGATGATAAGTAAAATTGTGATCATTTGCTGAATAGTCTACAATGTGATAGTTCAAAGTTGTATTATTTTCAAGTACTTTAGTTATATAGTAGTGTAGTTATGCACAAAAATGTTAGTACATATGGAATTTATTGGTTGTGTGATATTAATTTATGTACTTAATTTTAGGTTTTAAACAATTCCTAATTTTATTATCTACTAAAATATAAAGTCTACTGCTATCTGCAACTTTATTTCCTAAGAGAAGCAGTGCTAAATTTTTATCCAATATGTGGCCAGAGGCTTCTATTTATATCTAAGCTATATTTCAAAAATATATTTTGTGTGATTTGTATATTTCTATGCATTATTACAACCAAGGAAAATTTAAAAAATAAATAACTTATTAGTGCAATTATTGTTTTATTTAAGCTCTGATACATAGTTTATCTTTTTATAAACCAACAGTAAACAAGTTATTCTTTAAAAATTAAAAGGAAATACTGTAGACTGCAAAGGATTGGTTTTTACAATCTTAGTTTATTCTATAAACTTGAAGAGTATAAGCACTATAATTTGGTTTGACCAACTATGTAATTTATAGTCTAGACAAATTGTTTATAAATAGAATGAATTGTGATGTTAATATATAAGAAGTATTTCCATAAAAGAGCGTCTGAAATGGCTGGAAGAGGTAGTGTTTTGTCATTAACAACAATTTTACTACTAACTCATGCATATTCCAATTGTATAAACTAACTTTATATATGTTCATACATACATGATTCTGTTTAACCATTACTGAAATATTATAAAACAATCATATAATAAAATCACAAGGCTGGTCTAGGTGAAATAGAAGACAATGTATTAGTAGCAAAAAATATTAGGCAGAATAATATTGAGATTAATCTTCTTCATTTTCTAAGTTAATATGGCTTCCAAATTTCCCATATAAATGTGCTTTGAGCTCACTCATTTGAGATTTTAGCTCTTCGCATCTCAGCTCTAAATCACCTATTTCATTTTGCTTTTTACATTTCATATCCTCCAATGATTTCTGAAATGAAATTAATAACAATTAACTTTTTTTTAATTTTATTACTATTTCCTAACATTTATCTGTGGAACTTTTACTCTAAAATTTGACTTTCAATACCAAGTGACTCTTATAATATGTCAAATTTAATGTTTTGATATGGGAGTCAAATTTAGTACTATAACTCAACTTTGACCCTTACTGAAAGTTACATAAAGTATACAAAGCTAGGATTGTAAGATTTATCACCTACTTCAACAAGTAGGCCAAGGCTTTGCAGAGCTAAAAAGGCCTGAGATGAAAAAGCCAAATGTACCATGTGACATACACAAAATTTCTTAATCGCTATATAGAAGAAATAAATTTACCAACCAGTGTATCTTCCAGACTTTGGCAAATAAAAACTTCTCCAACTAAGAAAGGAATTTTTTCTGAATCATCAGTCAGAGCCAATTCCTCAACAGCTTCCTCTAAATTTTTAATATCATTTTGCTTAACTTTCAGTTCATCTTTAATATCATCAGCTTTGGCATTAAGGCGAGCGAATTTGTTAATTTTTTGTTGATCTTCAAATGAAATGTGCACGTCGGAATCCTATAACCAATTATAAGCTAAATATTGTTTAAAAAAAAAACAGATGTGTTTCCACAACACGTGAGCTGTAAATTTGTTTTAAATTAGAGTGCTGCGTATACTACATTGTGGTATAAAAAAATATTTGTATGCTCTTTATATAATATAACTATGTATATAAATTAGAAAATATAATATAAATATTAAAACACAAACCGGTTGATAGGTTCCTTTTCCACTGGCCATTTTTTAAAACTTATTTTAAGGGATACAACCTTTTTGTAATAATTTCACTTTACCAGCTAAGGCCAATAAATATAATTATAGTTGATGGTATATTTATTTTTAACTTTATTTACAAGTACTTTTAGGTTATCTGTCAAGTCGCAAGTGCATACCCTAAAAGTATATGCAATAGCTCCATGGTCGAGTGTCACTGTCAGATCTCTGTTATTCTCTTATATCTTGACCATAGAATATATTATCTATGGTGTTTGCATAAGACCTTTAGATAACAATTACTTTCGTATATAAAAAGCGTATTGGGTTTGATATACGGAAGTCTTTCCCACGAGAGTCGTACTTAGCACTAAATCTTAGGGTATCTCTTATTCTTAATTCTCTCCTTGAAACATAACTTTGTGATTCTGACTAATAAATTATTTTCTTCTTATTTAGGTAACCATAGACTAGGTAGGAAGTCAGGGTTACATATAGGTTAATCGAAAAGCGGAAAAGGTACAAAAAAAGAATATCTTCTCTTTTTTACATGCGCCGAATTTTATAAAACAAAACTGGGCAATTTTATACAAAGGCAAACTGGCAAGAGGCTAATCTGGTGTTAAGTGATATACCGCCCATGGACACTTTCAATGCCAGAGGGCTCTAAAAATAAAAAAAGAGAGACTAAAAAGCGTTTAAATTAAATTATTAATAGAAGTATTACTCATTCTCACTCCTAGAGTTTTAGCACTCATTATATAATGTACCTGTTGTTGGAGACATTTTATTTGATTATTTTACTAGTGGTATTTTAGTAGTTACTTTAGTATTGTGTTAACATTACAGTATGAATATACTTGTCTTTTAAGCAATTAACGAGCAATGTACTTAAAAAGTGGGTGATCAGCCTTCTGTTCCTTAAACACGCCGCCGACTTTTTGGATCTAAGGTATGCCTGTTTGTTCACTATACTTCGCCGTACAAGTGACTATACTGAATACTTTAGGGAAATACGTTTTGTATCATAAAGTCTACTAAATCAAAGTGAATAAAAATCTGTCCTAAGTGTTCCCCACCTAATATATTTTGTGGTTGTCTTTGTACCATTTAGCCTAGATTAATACCTATTATTTTATTTTTACAATCCACCAATAATCATAAAGTACTTAATACGTGTTTATATGTGAAGATTGTTTTTATGCCGAACAAAATTATTTATATTTAGTATAAAATTAAGTTATAAACTGTAAATCTTCTTAATAAATATAATGTTTCGCGTTTTAGTAATAAAACTAAAAAAAAAAAAGCGGGAAAAAAAGGGGAAAAAAAAAGAAAGTTTAAAAAGAAGAAATTTCTTAGACATTTATACGTAAATAGCATACTATCCTTTGAAGATAGCTATGATGTATGACCGCGGGGATTTTATAATTACAATGTTGACTGTTGTGATACAACATGACCAGACTGACCGAGAGTCAAACCGTTCATGTCATGTCATGGCATTCTCGATTCAACATAATTTATGTGAGAATTATTACAAACAACTTGTCGAACAAAAATAAAAATACTTGGTCAGTACAAGAGTGGAGTCTTATACATTTAATTTTTATTTTATCATGAAAACGATGTTGAGTTTATATTTTTATTATTAACCAACATGACACGACTGTCTACGTGTAGGTTCTTGTTTACCTCACCCAAACTTGACTGGCCTAAAAAATGGTCTAAGAAATACAAATAGTAAATATTTAAATTTATATTATATTTTAATATGCCATGGTGAAATAGGTAGTTCTAATGAAACGTATTTTGATTTAATTGTAATATTAGGCATTTCGATTTTCAAAAACTTATCTTGCGGAGTAGGCTCTTCCGCAGTTAGTACTATAAATTCATCTAAATTTAATTGGCTCTATAGCTGAATTGGTCCAGGTTCTAAATTATTAGGTAGTCTTCTTCTCTAGTCTAGTAGTTGGTCAAAGCGAGTCAAATTTAATGATATATTTAACTATAAATGTGTTTTAGCTCACCTATATAGTCATTACATTACACAGAGAGAGTTAGATCTATTGTTATCGACGTGACTATTCATACTGGACAAAGAGCGGCATTATATTAACACAAGACATCCGCTCCTTGCCCTTTAAAAAGCGTTCGCGAATCGTAACCTTCAAACTAACCAGCTTTTGATCACCTACGTCCTATTTTAGGTAGCTATTCAACTATTAAGGAATTCGTGTTTTTGTCGTACTCTGAAAACTCATAAAGGGTTATAACGTAATATAATCAATAGTGATTACTAATTTGTCAAAGCGCCAAGCATAGCGCTTGCGAAGTCGCAAGTCGAGCAAGCCTGCGCCTGAGCACCGGCCCCTCCATTGCTGCGCTTACGCCACACGTCGCCGTTCACTCGCATTACTATTTTGAACGTCAAACAACGCGCGCGCTTACCAATAAGTTTATACCTTTTCAGTGAAGATTTTTCGTGATGGAGAAGGAGCATCAACCAGACTCCATGGCGACCATAACAATGAAGCCAGAGTACCCACCATCAGAAGTATACAGTGCCTCTGAGCCACCGCCGGTAAGACCGTCCGTTACTTGATGCTCAGTGGTCACACTTTCATGTCTCCAAATGAGTTCATTCACAGTGAACAATCTAGTTTTGCCTTGTATACAATTCATAATATTTACTTCGTTGTGTTTTGTTTCGTAAATGGTTCAAGGTTGGTGAATTCCAAAAATTAAAGATAAATATTATAAATTGTTAAATTAAGAGTAACATTAAAAAACTTCTAAAACGTATTAACATTATGCTATAGATTATTCTATCTATATCTATAGATTCAGTTAGTAATTTAGCTGAACGTTGGGAAAGTGCCTTTCTCTCAGCCTGTAGCGGTTGTTAGGTCGCTGGCGCGTAGCCACTCGTTTACTTCGATATCTCCGCAACACCTTGTACCATAATAATAACATATAAGATTCCTAATATCTTTATTAAAATAATTTATCTGATTTATTAGTTACTTGATGCCGATCTAGCTTTGAATCTATCTCAATCATCAGGTTTGGTACGCGGAGTGCTTGTTTACCTTAATAGGTATTAAAATTTTGTGATGCTTAAAATTCTCAATCTTAAAGCCATTCTAGAAGAGTTTTATTATGTTGAAATTTACGTGACGAAGCTGTGTTGACCGGTTCAGTTGTTATGCTATTCAGATATCAGTTATGAATACAAATGAAACATTTATTTAAAACGCGCGAGGTGTTGTTAACTCTTTGTGAAAATATTTGCTTTCATTGTCTACGCCTTTATTTTGTATTTATTTACATTACTCCTGATGAGTACATTTTATTGTTATTATGTAAAACGACGATAATATATGCCGTTTAAATGTATCTGTAGAATACCATCCTTTAATCCACTCTTAGACCTCTGATTGGTATTAATTGCTGATATGAAATATATAATGACAAATTATAATAAAGTGCGATATTGTAAGAATGTAATTTAATTTGGAATAAAAAATCGAGAATACAGTAATAATCCTTAAGGATTTTTTTAGTATATCTTTGTAAGTTTATTTATTTCCGTAAAACGTAACCTTCCTATTGCGTAACTATCATTGATCGAGAAAAAGGTTTCTTTCAAGTAATATAAGAAATATATGTATAACGACGTTTGCTGTAAACAGTACAAAACGCGGCTTAGGTATCTTCGTTTATTTCTGAGAATAACTATGAGATATGTCTTTAAATGTGGGAATTTTATTGTTCTATTGTTCTGACCCATCATTAACTTAAGATTATGTAATTATCTTTTATCACGCGAGTCCGTTTGGTAGGAAAACTGAAAATTTTAACGTTTTCCACACGTTTTTCATAGGTGTCAATCAAGACTACATATGTTATCAAAGTCCTCAATAAATGGCCTATTCGTTTTCAATTACGTGCAATGCAATTACTTAAATTGTCGCTTAATTTTTAATTACTAATGGTTATTTAATTAGTACATAATTACCAAGTTATCCGACATAAAATGTGAAAGCCTAATAGTTGCTTTCAGAACAATATTTATAAAATTTCTCAAAAAGTTTTGCTGGTGTTTATATAAAGTAGAATCGTCGCGACATAAACTTAGATACATCTAATTGCCGCTAACGACAGGTAGGTTACAATTATTTTGTTCTTAGATAATTACAGACAAACACAATTCTTTTCTATAGATAATATTATATAATAATACAGATTATAATGACATTGCTTGTGGGTAAACCCAATCAAGAAAAAACGGCGACATAAACACAGCGAAGTGAAATCGTTATGGACTGCTTGTCGAAGTGGACACAATGATGATTGCGTCACTGAGTCTACTTTTAGTAACATAAAAACGATTGTTTGCATACAGTATGACAATGTAAGATACAAGTATTTTTCTTATGTTTGCTTCTAAATATTTTTATTTTTGAGAAATGTAACAAATCCATTAAAGAATTACATAAGTGGAACCGATCTCTGAGATTGCAATATCCGCGCAATAAACTAAAAAGTTAGCTACGTAATTTTGTACCAGAAATAAGTGTAGTGGAGCTGAGGTTTCTCTAACTTTATTATTGGCTTTTGTAGAATGCCATAAAGCGCAATAATTTAATTCATTGTTCTATTTAAAGTGAGTGAGTCCATGTACTTTCCTTATTTAAAAAGCAGAATACTCTAGAGTCTACGATATATTACGTTGCATGTGCAATAAACTGAAATATTACGAGGTAGCTCCTACGTTCGAAGTATATGGTTATGAAATGCTTAGGAAGTGTGAGGATATGCAAACAATATTACACTGACATGTCATGTTTATTTCATCAAACAATATTGTTAGAAAGCGCTCCTCTCCATGTACCTAGTTATAAAACTTGTTATGAATAATATTCTTGGTTTTGCGTTTGCACGGCTGAGTTAACGCGGAAGTATTGTAGGGTGTATTCATCGTGTATTGTGACATCTTAAAATATCTACGAACTCTACAAAGATGTATGTGAATTTAAATACATTCAAACATAATTGTAAGCAATTTTTGAATCTACAGTAACTTTTATTCTTACTTCAGCGATCGTGCTGTAATACGTTAATAAGAGTTGAATAATATTATTTCAACGTTCACCGAACCGGAAGCAACACAAATGGTTTCCATTTATTGTGAAAATCGATGTTAGCTACGGGTTTGTGGAGATAGTGGGCGATATTGGTTAAACGTTGCGGGGACTAAAACGGTTTCCCTTTAAAGAAACTCCAATGCACTTATGAACTACTTTCACTTAATTTGTTTGTTTTCACTGATCTCATCGTTGAAAGATGAAACTCTTGCTTGTCATCTTTAAACCAACAATAAACATACCTTCCAGGTACTAGTGTTTCTCAATTTGAAACGGTTTTTAAATAAAGTGTAAATTAATAAAAATATGTAGTGAAAATCATTTGATACTGAACTTGTATGTTATTACACGCAAAGTTATGTGAAATTTTAAAACGATGAATGGTTTATCGTAGCATAGATAAGTTAATAACAAAAAATGGCCACAAAACATGATATAACACGAAGAAAAGTTTACTTCCTCAAGTGCTCGTTATTAATTGATAAAGCGCTTACGCGCCGCGCCTCAGGTCTGATTAAAAAATTGAAATATTTTATTTTATTAATTCATTAAAATATGTTATTGAATATTCTTATTAATGTCACTTTGGTGTATTTTTATGATTAACTAGTTCCTTTATAGGAATTAAAAATTTTATGACAGTGAATTCGAGAATTACTTTAAATAATAACATTAGACCATAGTTTTCGTTTAATTATTAATTTACTAAATGTCTCTAATAAATTAGTAATCGCGTTTTAATCGTTAAGTTTTCTTGAAAATATTATTCATGTCGTTATAGACAAAAAATATTAAATAGAATTGTTTCCATTGATATGCAAGTCATGAATAATTGTGATCCGCAGGCATACCGTCAAAGGGTATCAACAGCAGTACAAATCGCGAGAATAGCTGCCCTAACAGTGGTGGCATCATCCTTCATACTGGGATCATTTATTCTGGCATCAAGTTGGATCTCTGCTCGCGCCTCTTGCCACCAACTCGAGCAATTGGATGCTATGCTTGATAAAGAGCTGGCTCTAGAAGGAAGGTCATATGGAAACGATGGATTACTTGCGGTAAGTCAATTTCTATAATTTAATAATAGTATCACTTCAGTGGATCAATCGGGAATTTTCTATGTAGGTAAGAAATTAGCGCTTAATGTGTATCACGGTACAAGTTACTTGATAAATAAACACTCGGCTTTGCTGTATATTAGGACTTTGTTTTTCTTTAACATTTGTTTGGATTTAAATTTTTTATCTACGTCTTCATTCTTTTCCATACAAACTGAACACAGTCCGAATACGGGAGCCTTGCGTTTTGCAAAATTAAACAATTTTTAATTCTTCAAATTAAATTCTTGTTTATAAAACAATTGTATGATATCTTAAATTATAACAATATTTTTGAAGAGATGTAACAATTATTGTTACATTTTCACTTGAAAAATCTGTATATAAAATAAATATTGCTTACTCATAGAGTTTACTTACTACTTAGTTAAAGTTCATAAATTCAGTGAAACGGGTATACGAGCTTTGTGTTCTTAGGTTACTTTGAAGAATTTGCAACTAATTAATGGCAGAGCTTACTTGATGCCTTTGTGAAGATATAATTGAATACCTATTCACAAGAAGCTGGTATTATATTACATTATCAATAAATTATTTATTTTGGAAGCTAGATATTTTTATAGTACAATAAAGTCCAATAGACCGTTATGATCCAATTTATAATATCCGGTTTTCACAAAATTGCACAAAACGTTTTGATAATTCTTTGAATAAATAAACTGTGCACTGAGATTGTTTTAACTGCGATTGCATGATTAAGATTACCGGAGTATAAAGAAAAAAATATCTCTTATAAATTTTCGACAAATGTTAAAAACATATTTACTGAGAAAATAATAGTAATTATTAGTTACAACGCTATAGTAGGTATTGGGTTCTCATGATTCATAAGTCTTTTATATTCTTTCCTGTGCAGAGAGCCGGTACTTTTTCGTGATGTCCATACGAATGTGTGAATCGAACAATACACACAAGCGCTATTGTTTTGTTTTGTTTCTAGATAATGGTTGTTTACAGTTACGAACTATTGGTGACACAGTGACACGGTTTTAGCCTTTCATACTAACAATTAACGCTTAAAAATATGAATGAATAGGTTATAATTGTTGTAGCAAGCGCGGATCGTTGTGGGCACAACTAAATGCCACTTTGTTGATGTATGGCGTCACATTTGTTATTTCTTTCTTCGTTAGGAATGTCCAGACCGCCCCAACATCGACGATATTTTTTGGTGATCATAACCTTATTGCTTATTAGCCTGTTGTATTAAAATTGCTAGTTAGTATCGAGAAAAGGCTGGTTGTGTATCTTGTACATCAATGAAATAAGTGCATGGAAGTTACACTAAGTAAGGTCGTAGTAAATTCTCTTCAGACGTCTCAGTTTGCTCCCGGGTGTTGTTCGTGACTAGAATGTTCGACTATTTACTTTAAATTCCACTGCAATTTACTGGTGGATGACGGATTCGGTGCCGGTCAATAACGTCCTTTCATTACTCTCTCTCTGATTTATTGTGTTTACTGCTACTTTAGAATACTAACAAGTCACTCTATTGAGCTGTTACTTTCAGATTTTATCTAAATTTGTGGGACCTTGAAAAATAAGAGCACTCAATACATGGAATGGAAAATATTTATAAATCGTGTGACTAATGTGCTTTGTAAATTTGAATTTGCAATAGTCGATATCAATCCAACGCTTTTTAGCTATATAAATATGCGCAGTGATATATTAAAACTCTTACACCACATTGTAAATCACAAACGAGCTGATTAAGTTTTGGTATAATGTTCATTATTTTGGTATAATGATTCCTTTTTGGCATAAACTTCATTAATTTTGGTATAATGATTCGTATTTGGTATGATATTCATTAATGACTATCAAGGATATCTTATATGGATCTTAAAGTCCGCGGTACCACGACGAGACACGTCGCGTACCGGATCACCTTGAATCTTCATGTTACGCAAAGTTGCGCTTGCGTTTCTAACTCTAACACAGCCATCCTAATGAACCTCGAAGATAACTGTTGAGAAATAGAAGGATGGTTCAATTTTATAAACAATTCCCTACTGTGTTGTGAAGGTTTTTGTAAGCCTTCTACATAATTGATTCTGAAATATTGTAGGTCGTAATGTGATGAAATATAACTATAGTTTATTGGTTTTAGTAAATTTACTAGTCCATACTATAAAAGCAATACAAAGTCAATTTAAATTAGATTAGCGCGTTCAACCAAATAAACAAACATTCTTTTACTTCAACAAAATAATATAATATTATAGATTATGCGTTCATTTATTTATTTTTAACTGACTTAAAAACCGAAAGGAACGTTATCAATTCGATTTGTTTCGGATTATGTCAACGTCAAGTACACTAAACGCAGGAGACAAAGAAATAACTAAATTCGAAATTATTAAAATGTTAACATATATACTGATTAAGAATAGATTAAAAATAGCTTTATGCAGTCAAGATGAGGTCACTAACTAATTTACAATACAATACATGACTTATTATATTGATTCTTAGACTGTGACAAGGGAATGAAAACCGGTTTAGTTGTCTTTTGTAATCGCTATTTACTATTATATTTAAACTATGAAACACAACTCGAACCAATATTTCTTGAGATTAACGTGTCCAATTAGGATTAGAAATTACGGGACTTCACACTAAACATATATGTTTAATGGATCCTTACATTGTTAAAAACTAATTAAATTATTGAAAGTTAAAGGGAAAGCTCGAAAGTTTACAAAGTTAATGAAATTAAACTCGCTAAAAGTTTAAAGAACTAGCCACCTTTGACATTATACGCTCCGAGGATTACCTAGTTGATTACGTCAGTGCAGCGAAAGTTGCAACCGGTCAATGACCCCAGGTCGCGGATGCATCTTAAACATAAAATACGAACATGGATATTATGTGCCTTTCTAATGTAATGATAATTTACTGCTTTGTGTACGGCGTCAATTAAACAAGAAAGTAAAACAACGTTTTTAATATCATAAGGTCAACAATAGACCTGCAGTGTTTGGGTTTAATATTCTTTAATACTTTCGTTTTTTAATCAACACTTTTTTGTCATCCTTAATGCATATATATTTAAGTATTCTTACACGTTGTTATAATATATGCAAGTCTTTGATTCTGGGTTACGTGCGATTACCGGATGATCGATATAATTTTAAAATATTGACTTTATTCCAATAAGTTATTTATTTTACACTAGATGAGCAGGTGAACTTTAAATCTGTTACAAAAATTAGTAAAAAATTATCAAAACAGACCAAAGAGATCGAGAGAAAAATTTATTTTTCTTCCAATGACAAAAGACGTCAAATATCTTCCCAGGAACCAGACGTCAAATATCTTCCCAATATAAACCAACGTTTATATTGGGAAATTCAATTATTGTCGTTTTTTAGTATTTTATATTATTAATAATTCTTATTCTTTATATTATTTATTTTTCTCATCTTTTAAGCCTTCCCTAAACTTTCAAAAATATTTCAAGATGATAATTAACTAAATCAGCCAAGCGATTCTCGAGTTTTAACGAGACAAATGAACCGCAATTCATTTTTTAAATGTAGATTATTATTCACATAGAGTCAACTTTCTTTCTATTTAATAAATATAAAACATATCACTTGTTTATTATATACCATTTTTGAAATTGAGATCAGATAAAATCTCTGTTCACTGACACAAAGTCCTGATGAATAGCTGTTTATCATTCCCACTTTCTCTTTGCTTTCATTTTTGCATATGTAAAAAGGTCCGGTCATATTAATCATTGTTATTTTAGCTGAAATGTTTAAGTTTGGAATGAAAAACAAATGCTATGAACCGTCACCGTAACAGATTTTGTTTAAAACAGCAGCCATAGTAGGAATATTATAATAAAACAGTTTATTCCGTATTATATTCAAGTATGGTTAATAGCCATTTTGCTTATATTGGATGAGCTTTGATCAGTGATTATACTGTTTGTAACTAAAGAGTCGTCTCGTCTTGACTGTATAGTTTTCACTATGGAGGAAATAGTGGAGCGTTACATTTAACTGATAAGTGACAAGTCGATTTTTTGGTTAATAAATAAAATCGGTGGTGCTACAACCTCTTTAGGTCCGGGCCTCAGATTTCTGAATCTGTTTTATGATAATTTTTCAATCTAATAGGCAAGCAGGTGATCAGCATCCTGTGCCTGACACACGCCTTCGACTTTTTGGGTCTAAGGCATGTCGGTTACCTCACGATGTTTTCCTTGACCGTTCGAGCGAATGTTAATTGCGCACATAGAAAGAAAGTCTATTGGTGCACAGCCGGGGAACGAACCTACGACCTCAGGGATGAGATTCGCACGCTGAAGCCACTAAGCCCACACTGCTCATTTTTTGGTTTTACGGGTTAAAAAAATAACCTCAAATAAGTAGTTACAAAGCGAATCTAGAAATATCACATGTTAATAAACAATCTAGATCGAAAAAAACACTTTAAAATATTTCATTACACCAGTTATGTAAATATTAACTTGCGATTTCACTGTTTTCCATTGTACGAATAAAATGATTGTACGTGAAATTAACATTTCACTTCAGTTTTTTTGCTATGCTTCATCCTAAATAACAATCAAAACTGTTAAATTATCGAGTTTATATTGAAGTTTTGTGACGTTATTCGTGAGTTTATGTCACTTTAGGTATTCATTTGAACAATGAGTACTTTTAGTTGGCGGAAACAAACGATTTTCTACGGGCGTTCATCACAGTAATTCTGTTCCACCACCCGCGTGCCGCCCACATACGTAACACTGCATTAACAACAATGCTATGTAATTATTGACCTCGCGAACATTCACGTGACATTTTCGAAAATGTTATTTGTCATTCTGTAACTGACGTATCGAAATTGTAAGCTAATGTATTCGCCTGAACAAGAAAGTCGTATAAGCGTAATAGTAGTTAGTCAAACACAAAGCTTTTTATTATTTTAATATAAGCAAATAACCTATTAACATGTGTTTATAATTAAGTAATAATTTTATCTTCGGAACCTTGCTTAAAGGGACTCCTTTTAATAATATATTTTAGTTTATGTTAAGGTTAGTTATTTATTGCAATCTATATTATTAAGTATTACGCGGTTAAACTTTCATAAAAGCTAAATATATAAATATGATGTTTAAGAGGACTGGTTCAATATTTGGGTAGCATCTTCAACATTCTTAAGCCTCGGAATCGCTTTAGTACTCATAAGTCTTTGAACAAAACAAAAGAACTTCCCGTAAAGCACCATCGTAAAAGGTTAACTTTCCTTATTGTCATACTGTATTGTCTATCTGTAAATATAATTCGTTGACAATCGATAATTTTATTGTTCTGTTGCTGTTTCCTTATTATCACGCAATGTTAGCAAAAAATAGTAACGTTTAGTTTCGTAAAAGCAGTAAAAGTGTATGTACAATGCGACAATTGCCGACGTAATCGACGTTTTCTATCGGTTGCGGTCTTGAGCATTTCTCGGCTGGCTGATTCTTATTAGCTGAAATGGCGAATTCATGCTAAATTTTAAACCAATCAAGGCTTATAATCAATAAATCGCTCGAAAACTTCCTATTTCATGAATAATCTGTATATCTATACATATTTAAATTGTTTCTAGTATGTCTTCCACAACGTATATTTCGACGAGGTTACGTTCCAGGACGTCTATGACGACAATGAAGTGACAAAAGACAACAAATATCTCACAGGAACAGTTTTTATTGGATTATTTTCCTTTACTTATTATTTATCTCCCAACGTTTAAACCTCCCCTTAACTTCCTCTAATATTTCAAGATGATAATTAGCTAAATCAGCACAGCGATTCTCGAGTTTTAGCGAGACAAACGAAGAGCAATTCATTTTTCAAACATAGATTATGAGACCTTCTCGAATGGCAAAATAAAATAAAAGGAAGTTTAATTAGACATTGTACTATAATAATATATATTTCAGTATAAATGAGAAACGAGAACACTGTAATTGCATTTGCATATTGGATGTTTCTATATTTGTCATGTTGACGCACAGGTGACACGGGCGTGATTTACAAATAAGCAAGATGTAAAATACCTATGTACAATGCAAATCCTTAATATTTATAACGTATACGTACCGATGTAACCTTGGTTTTTATATGTGCATATGTTAAATAAAGTTACGCTTATAGTATTTATCAGGACTTAAGCTTATTGTGCCTTTAGATGGTTATTCATATGAGAATTATGTACGTAATGAGATTGAAGATACTATTACATTTTTGTACCATGCATATGTTGGTAATAGATGTGTCATTGAAGGCTTCTATAAGATTTAGTATTTGTATAAACTCTTCTATAACGTTCTTAAACTTACGGCTAAATGATAAGTTATGAAATGTCATACATTAGTTCGATAGGTCTATTTTTGAAACTGATTGATAAATATTTCATAAGTTATCCAATACGTTTTTGACATACGGAAGTGATACTTAGCTAAGTTTCGACTCTTATATCTTAGATTTAGTACTCAAAACATTTTCCAAATATTTAATTGGTGGGCATTACGAAAATAAATTGTAATATAAATAATATACTACTTTCAATGGAAATCTCCTCATGTAAATATACTCCAAAGATTTTTATGAATTATTAAAAAGTTCTTAGAAACACGCAATAAGAACACAGATATTCTCAAGATCAATTAAATTGTTATTTATTTCTTTTTCAAGAACAATAGCAAATAAAATAACACTTTTCTAATTTTAAAAATCTTCAGTTGATATCTTCAGAAATCGTTTTTCCTCAATTGACGTGCAAATAACATCTATTAACACTTAATTTACTGTATACATATTTAAAATCATGTTCCAGGAAAATCACTTGCTTATTATTTGGTGCTAGTACGTATCTGGTACTGAAGATACAGATGTTTTTGTGTTTTTTTCTGATATACATAATACATATACATTTTACTGTTATAATTATTTTTAATTCGAGAAATAGATTGACTATCGACTATTGTAACCATTACGAAAATCTGTTATTTTAATACGAAAGTCCACCACCAGAAACGGTTATTTTGTTATACGACGAAGGGTCCGTTTAGTAAATAGCATACCACTTAGTAAGGCTATTGGTATAGTTTTGTTTTATTTAATTTCAAGAATCAACTGTTTTTACTTGTGAGAAGGACGTCGTAGTGGTTGTATGTGCTTACAACATTTTCTAAACAACGGAGTGACGGAGAGTTTATTGCCAGTTCTTCTCGTCCATTCTACGATTTAAGTTCTGGCAAAAAAATTAAATTTAGAAGCATTATTTTTTACTGTTTATAAGTACATTAAGTTACCTACACGAATTAATGATATTTTTATTTGTGGCCATGGCTGGTAGTTCATGTCAATATATGCCTAGTAGAAATAATATCACAAATTGTCTGTGAAAAAACCACACTGTTTCACGTTTTAATAGTAATTAATTATACGTATGATTGTTTGCAGGATGAACCATTGCCAATAGGTAACGCTCACGCGTTGCATGCGGCACCTCCTCTAACGCCATCATCAACGACTGCGCCACCACAGCAGAATACAGCAGTACCATCTCCAGACAGTCTGCTGAAGGAGGACCCTCTTAACCAGGCGGAGTCGAAATTTGATGAAGACAAGTTACAGGTATTTTTTTTTATACTGATGCCAAAATAAAATAAAGCAGTAGTGCGTATTGGCATTGGCTTTATGTTTTGAGCATGCGCATCTCAACCTTCGGGTTTTCACGGCACAAATGAACTTTTGTATCACACAATAAACACTCGCTGTTTGACATTATGACATTGTGTCAGGCGCAGAATTCTCATCACCTACTGGATTACTATTGATACTATTAAGAAAAAAAAAACACAAAACAGGTACAGAAATCTGAAGCCAAGAAAAAAAACCTGTGGCGCCTCAGGTTTTTGATGCCAAAACACTTCGAGATTCAATATTAAAGGTCCGTATCGTTTTAGGCTCCGTTTTAAATTAAGTATATCCTTGTCATAGGAAAGATAGCTTTAGTCTCTTGGTAGCTTAGCGTTTTCTTTTTTGGGTTTATTTCACGAAAAAAAGAATATTTATTTTTGTTTAATATCTCGGATGAAAATAAAATGATTATTGCTATCTATACACATAAGAAACAGTCCGGGATTTAACAATTAAATTTACTGTAATTATTATGATTTCATTAATAGCTTTGGTTGGTTGAATCTGAATTCAGGTAACCGTGAAGGTCAAATTATACGTCAGAAGCAAAGTTAAAATTTTTACACAAAATCAAAATAAACAATGATTTCGCAGTTTTAAAGCAAAACATTTGTTTTGTTTCTCGATTGTTCTAAGATGGAGCTACTAAAAGATTCGTTCAAGTTAATTTCGTAAGCGAGTTAAAGTTGCTTTCCATTATTGTTTCTAGGTTAATAAAGTTTCCATAGAACTTCTTTACATTATTTTTAAATACTACAATATTTATATAATCGTGGACAACGTATCTCGCCGATTGTGTAAGAACACTTGAAACAAACAAAGTTTTTTTTCAATGTGTAGATAGTATTCGGGTCAATCAAAGATAAATTGAAATGTTATACAAATATATGTACAACTAACCACTGAAGTTTTTCCGAATCAATTCGGCTTAGGGTCCTTCAGGAAAGTCCGTACTAATATTTAAAAGTCTGGCAACACATTGTTGAGCTTCTGTATCAGTATCAGTGTCCATGGGCAGCGGCGGTATCACTTAACATAAGATGATCCTCCTACCCGTTTGCCCGTTGTTCTTTATCATGAAATTTATTTCCTTGTTCTTTATTCCAAAACAAAGCCCGTTTATTTCCAATCATTACAAATGCTGTCCATATACTGTTTAGAGTTGTTATATCATACATTTTTTTCTTGTTACTCGATATCCTAACTTCAGTACCATTGATAGGAACCTCTTCACAGTTAGTAGCCTCCTCTAGCTTTTACAAGATTTCTGTATCCATTTCTGTATGGCTTTCTTTCTCTTCTATTCACCTTTTTAGCTATTAAAATTCAATTATTTTCTACACTTTTCCTAATTTGAAATCCAATGAAGTATGTTTGAAACCTGAATAAGAAAAGTCAGTGTTACATTGTAAGTAACAGGTTACGTGTCCGTGTGAAAGTACCATTAAAGCCATGTCTTAAAACGGAATAACTCTTGACTAATCGCCAAACGCTTAAGGAGCACTTAAAACGAAGATATTTCTTTGTTTAATCATAAATCTTGTGTCGTGTCTTTCTAATGTATTGGACCGGTTTGTTGCTTATGGACTATTATGTTCATATTCAAGGTAGTCTTAAACAATTAAGGGTATATGGCGCCATATTACACCAACTATTAATAATAAACACTATATTCACATCATAACAAATAACAGACAGAAATAATGAGGGCGGTCTTACTATGTAGTTATACAATAATGAAATAATTAATCTAATATATAAAATTGTCGTGTCACAATGTTCGTTCCCATACTCCTCTGAAACGGGTCGACCGATTCTTATGAAATTTTGTATGCATATTCAGTAAGACTGAGAATCGGACAACATCTATTTTTCATCCCCCTAAATGTAAAGGGTGGTCCCACCCCTAATATTTTTTTTTTTTAGACAAAACTTTTTGTTTTTATTGTTTTATGATACAGCATATAAAAATACGTACAACCCTTAATTTTCACCCCTCTACGATTAACCAATATTTTTTATTATAGTAGATAGTAATTTTTATTGAACTAAAAAAATGTTCCCTAGAAATAATATACATGGCAAAACAACGTTTGCCGGGTCCAAGACTATCAGGATTATCCAAGACTTTGCAGGCATGCGAACAAAATCATAACGAACCATTTTTGTATTATTGTATCTACACTATATTCGCGAAAATAAAGGGTTATCATGACCTCAATTATTATAGCATATTATATCAATTATTATAATAAATTATAATATCTGGCAAGGTGGCGTGTTAAAGAAAGCAACTAATTTGACAAATTTCAAATCACAAAGTTTTGTGGTTTAGCGTCGTTCAGTTTTAAGTCATTAAACAAAACATTCAAAAGCCTGTATCGGAAAGCTTTACAAAATCATGAAAAGTTGTAACACATGATTTACGAGAACGTCACTAAAACGCCATGTTAAAGTTGACGGACCGTGTACCACCGACCAAAGCTGTTTACAAAATGTCTTTCTGACATTTGGCTCTGACATCTGACATAATGTGCCCTATTCACGACTAAAATCACTACAAATAGGGATAAACAATTTACTTTTTTTTTATTTTACTTTTCAATTGATGTATGTATTGAACAAAGTTTATGAATTTTGTTCTTAAAATTTAAAATTGTATGTCCATATTCGTAGCACTTATATATTAGATCCTCCTTTACCTCTATATTGGGATTACGGAAACGAGTTGCTTGTTACATGACTGTGTTATGTAAATGCAATACAATATTGATATTTGTTCGATATAAATGCACGCGATGTATGGCGCTGCATATGAGTCGAGGGTTGTCAAGTTACAAATTTAGTTTTATAGCTAATGTACTTTTAAGATATTTATGCATTAATATTAATACTAAGTACGTTAACAATTTACCGCGTTTACAAAGGTAAAAATCTGTCATAAAGTAACCTTAACAGCAGCTGAGAGCAAACTTAGGTACCTGTGTCGTTAAAATATGTCGGCAGATATTTTAAAGATAATGAATAATTTATGAGATATTTGCTAAAATTTGCATAGCAAAATTGCATTTTTACTAAAAATATAATTTGTTATGATTAAATTTAAATTTTATTAATATCACAAATATAATGCAAACATTCGTTTCTGTTGTATGAAAGTCAAGCGCCAGTTGCTGACTCCTATTAAAACCAATTTTCATAACATAGAAGTTTCCGTTGTTTAAAAACTGTTTTTCTCTAGCGGGCACTATTCACATTTTCAAATACCATCCGTCATAACTACGAGCCGTAGGTTAATTTTGTGAAAACAGCAGGTGTCAATTTAACTTTATACGAAGAAGTTATTTGTGGTATTAAGTCAGCGATTTAGGGAGAGACAGCCCTACAATGACGTCAACGTACACGTGAACTTCCTAAAGCTTTCTCTTTTGCAATCGTTGCAAGTTGACACCTTGATATTGGATTGTTTGTGAAAGTTACCGATTTGTGCATTGTTTGAATATTTTTTTATTTAATATTTTGGGCCAGTATTAAAGTGTGTAACTACAACCTATTTCGATTGACAGTTTCACAGAGCTGGACCATTATATATTCCTCTTACTTTAAACGTTTAATTATTCATTTCTCGCCGATAAACTAATACAATACATTCATGAAGCAATGCAAGTTACAATATTTACAAGTAGAGGGCAGTAGAACAATAGTGCGCGAGCGCATTGTCTCTTACAGGATGTCCGAACGCATTGTGCCAAGTAAACAGCACAGAACGAAATATTTCCAATGTTCATACATAATTTTCCTAGATCATTATTTTTTTGATAATCTATAAACATTATGAAGACATACTCTTAATGGTGACATCAGTAAATTTTTATTTTATTGAATTGGAGAAAAAATCTTTCCGGCCCGACAATTTTTTTTAGGAAAAGTCAAAATGTCTGGTTAATTCGATGGTTAATGGTGGAACTCTAGGAATAGCTAAAAAAGGGTATCAAGCTTATATGAACTATCACAACTATAAGGCGTGGTAATTTATTAGAGAATGAGAGTAAAAGCCGCCGTAGATAGATAGATAGATAGAAATTATCCCAGAACAGATACAGAAATCTGAGGCCCAGGCCTAAAAAGTTTTAGTGGTATCTATATATAAAAGTGGCCCAAAATACAGAATTCAGCCTTACTAGCTTTTTTCCTTTTTTAACTAAACTCAAAAATACTTGTAAAATTAAAATGGTTTGCACACTTCAGTGTAACAATGTATAAGTTTGCCAAATGACACGCCATTGTGTTAGTTGAGAGTGTCTATGGCGTATATACCTCCATGAAACGGTGTTGTTTTGACATTACAGACCTATATAATACTTTATGTGGGTGCATTACTGTATTTCGTAGATCGTTAGAGTCACGCAACAGTTTAATGACGACCTTTCACTTACAACGAAATTTAGTTTTCCCAAACTGCACATGCATGTCAGACAGTACTCACGAAATAAATGTACAAAATTAAACAGTATGTTAGAAATTTTGTGAAAGACTAATCGCCTATGTAATTTGGAATTCAATATGGAAATAAAAAAGTAAATTTAATGGTTAGATATTAAGCCTATATAGTATGTAAATAGTAAAGAAAGTCACTTGCAATTTGTTTCTATGTGAATGTATAAACAGCCATTATCCCCAAATATTTATATAATTTTTCTTTATCGTACGTTATCATCTTCTGTTCCTCACGATGTTTTTCATCACAAAGAAAGAAGTTGGAGTACGAACTCATGGTTGAGAAACACATGCTTTGCTACTAGACTAAAACTATTATTTATGATACCCAACGTAATTATATATTCTTTGTAAAATACGTAATATAATAGAAAACATCGTGTTTTACAGAAAATTGACGATGACAACTCGAAGCCGGAAAGTGATGAAAGCTCGGAGTCAGATAGCTCCGGTGAAGACGATGACGATGATCTCATCAGGCCACTCTTCAAGTTACCGATTCAGTTCGATTTGGACGAGCTTGCTGGAGCCTTCCTCGCCAACAACCAAAAGTAAGTTGCGTAAAGACACGTGAATGATTTGATTGGGACGGGGGTAAACAAATAGTCACTTACAATAAAGTTATAACAAAGTGCAAGGCCACAACGCTGGGAGACTTAAAATGTTTTTCCGTTTTTTGTTATTACTCGTACTATTAACAAGTCCTATCAAAATTATGCTTAAGAAAATATATTTTTTTAAACCTACACTCAGGGTAAGACTCAGAGTCTAGCGTGAACTATAAGTATATATCTCATATGAAATCGTATACGTACACGTACCTCGTAAAACGAAAACAAATGAAAATCGATTACAATAGCTAAAATAAATATAGCCTGTGCAATATAGGCTTAGCTTAAAAGCTATTACAATTTTTACTTACTTTGGTGTAGGTTAAATGAAGGTATCATATTTATTTTAATTGAATAAAAATATACATAAGATGCAAAAAATCTTTAGTAATAGTTGCCTGGCCTTAGCTTGCAGTAAACGGCACGACCCAAGGCTTGTGCAATATTATAAAAGGTAAAAATCAAGGTTTCTTAGAACGATGTCGAGTTAAAGTAATTTTTTGTTCAATAAAGTTTGTGTCGTATTTATAAATGAATCTATTCCGATTTAGTAATATGAAAATATTTATAATGCATTTTATATGCAAACGTATGACTTTCTTCTGATATTACGAAGATTTTTATTTTTATTAATCACCTCAATCGCATGTGACCAAAACAATGGTTATTGTGATTAATTTACAATAGATATTAGAAGGTGATCGCGTAATCGGTGTTATAAATGTTTAATTATGATATCAGCGCTCGCTATATGGATAGGCAAATTTGTGATACATTGTTACTCACTGATAATATAGGATATCTCTATATATATAAAATTCTCGTATCACAATGTTCGTTCCCATACTCCTCCGAAACGGCTCGACCGATTCTTATTAAATTTTTTATGCATATTCAGTAAATATGAGAATCGGCTACTATCTATATTTCAAATCCCTAAGTGATAAGAGGTGTCCACCCCATATTTAGTTTTTGTTTTTATTTTTATATGATACAGCATACAATACATACAACCCCTAATTTTCACCCCTCTACTATTAACCCCTATTTTTTATTATTATAGATAGTTATTTTTATTGAACTATAAACACTTTCTTAGAAAAATTATACATGGCAAAACAACGTTTGTCGGGTCAGCTAGTAGGTCTATATTAAAACATGAGTACGTCAACCAATGAATGTAATTTATAGGATAAAATATAAGTAGTAATAAAAAAGGTTTCTTTCACAGAGGGCGCATGAACTGCGTAGTTGAGAGGCGTCACGAGGAGCCAATGGAAAGGCGCTTCCCCTTCAACATCCTCGGAGCCTTCGCCCCACGATCTGCTCAAGCTGAACGTGTCGCTATCATTTGCCACGGCGGTGATGAAAGGTAACAAATTTAAAAAAATTATTACACTTTCTCTGCTTTCCGTTTTCAATATAAAACAATATTTCTATCCGGGGCTTTCGGCCTATTCATAATGTTTGATGAACAGAGGATTTACAATTGAAATAAAGAAAGTGAGGAAGGAAAGTCTTTTCTTATATAAAATTATACACAATTACGCTGCGTAACCCACAGTTGTATGTTTGTAACTGTAGCTAAAAAATACGTTTTCCTTAGTGTCTTGTGTATACACGGGCCCCACTGACATAAAATTCATTTAATAATATTCCCGATACCGTTAAAAAATGCATAAACGCTATTTAAACTATATAACAGTATTTATTTCTACTGATAAACGAGTTCCTCATTTAACTACAATTTTTATTTAACTAGCTGCATTCTCTAACATAAATATAATAAAAGTCTCGGACATAGCTGCATAGTCATATCAATTAGCTTTTTTAATATAGTGAAAGTGAATGTAAATCAACAAATAATACAAATAGCTCACCATAAGCATCGGCCATTTTGTGTCAATAGGTTCCGAGGTTTATAATTTTTAGTTCTGTTTTAACGCTTATTCACGCTGAATCGGTTTATTGTTGAAAAAAATATTTAAATCGTGTTTAAAAATTAAGAAGGGTTTTTCGGTAAAAGGGTATTTTAGTAGTGATATACTTGTAAATTGTATATTTATTACACACATTGCGTCATAATTCCTTAATTAAACTTTGCTCTCCCAGGTCCCAGGTCGTTCCATTTTTCTTAGTTTTTTATACATAGGCTACTAGGTATATTCAATTTAAACTACTGTTATTGTGAAATACAAATATGCAAACATAGACATATCATTTAGACATAGACATATCATTGATTACAAACAAAAACACACACGAATAACACACAAAATAACAATAAACAAAGAGAAAAAATTAAATAAAAATATAGAATATTTTTTTCCTTTTCCCTTCGGTTTGTCCCAAGAATATAATGCGTGTGTGCTGTGGCTGTAATTGGCCCTGGCTCAGCATTATGCTTAGGAGCAAAATGTTCCAGAGCGCTGGTCATTCTCCCAGAGACCACATAAGCTAGTTTGCGCCTCAGTCGCAAAAAAAAAGAATGATTAATACTTAGTAGAAAATAATAATTATAATATTAGAAAAAGTTAGCAGTGTAAGTAATGAAGTCTTGTATAATGTGGTGTGAAGTAAATAAAATAAAATTAAAAGTAAAAATACGAATAATTGTTAAAATTAGAAAATTTTTTGGGGGGTTAAAAACTATTTCGTGGGATTTTTGTTGAGTTAATAGATGAATTATAGGAAAAATTAGACTTTAATAAGAATAGGTGCAAACAATTCCATATTATTGTTCTCTTACGCTATTGAATGAAGTTGATAACTTTCAAAGGAATCTTATGTATAATTTAAAGTGTATACTGACAAGTGAATAATCGAGACTCAAACAAATTACCTGAATATAACTTATAATATTATCTATTGAATGTACAGCTTTTATGTTTAATATAATATCGAATGAAAAATATATATACGTAGGAGTTGTTGCTAGGCGATAACCCCCGGGGCTTTGGGTTTCTTGTCGTTTATTCGGAGTATTTCTCAACGCATGTAAATATTTTATGCCTTGATTCTATTGTACTTATTTGGCGCTTAGAGAGGAATGATGTATGGTTGTAGTGTGTTATTTAGACTATTATAATTCTGAAGGTTTCATTTTCATTTTTCGTATTTTATATAAATAAAAATAGCATTATGCTGACTATACCTTACAGTATTTGGAATAATTAGATGAACGGAAAACTAGAAGAAAGTACTTCTTCTTCTTGCTTCGGTTTCAGTTGATATTTAGACTCAAGTCAACCTACTGCGCTGATTACTGTAGCTTGCAATCAAAAATAAATATAAATTTACCGAAAATGAGTCGCCTTGGATGCCTCTAACGTTTTAAGATTAAGCCATAGATGTGGTAGATAAACTTATTAGATTCTTAATAAATTTGTTTGTTCCAGACCCATGCCACCAATTTTCCCTGACCCGCAATCGCAAGTGTTCGCCTTCCCACTGTCAGGACCAGTCCGTCTCCCAATCAGACCACAACCAGAGAGACAGCCCATGCCAGCCCCGGCTCCAGAACCCAGAGGCCCATTCGCCCCCTTACAGCATCGCCCTGCGCCATTCCCGCTACCTGTAAGTAGATCGTACATTTTCTAGAACCTCCTTCCTTAAAAAAAATGTTGTCCAAGTGCCTAAAGCGTGCAGACTTGAGGCTGTGCACTAATGCATTATTTCTATGCAATATACGCTGAAATCAAATATCGTGATAAAACTGGTATGTCCTAAATAAGAATCGGTGATATTTAACAAGAGGCGGCTGATTATTACTTGTCTATAAAATAAAAATGTATATGCAATCTGAAGCCCTCTTGGCTTATAGGATTGTAGCGTCATTGGATTTAAATTTATAAAATAACGGTTTTATTAACCAAACAGTTTATTTAAATTTTTTAAAATCAGTTTATGAAACTTTTTTTGGGTTAAGGTAACTCCAAGATGGGACACGAAGTCAGCATTCATTGAACACTTTTAAGTCAGATAGCAATAACCGAACCGAAACCAGAACAATTATTATTTCGACGACGTGTATTTCAGGACAGCGATTAGTGAGGTAGTAAGAAATTATTTAAACATAATTGGGAATTATATTTCGTTCGGAACTTCTCGGTCCGTTATAAGTATAAAAGTTGATGTTTGTGGATTACGCCAATTGTAGAACTACCATTTCTAGCAGTTGATTAACACTAATCGCTCCATAACGAGAATGATAGAGGTTTAATCTTGCAAAATCATTATAAATTTAGTGGATTATTTTTCCGACCCAAATATCGACCAATAGAATTGCACCATTCGACGTCACGTGGTACAACCTACATGGTATTATACTGATTATTTTTCCGACCAAATATCAAATATCGACCAATAGAATTGCACCATTCGACGTCACGTGGTACAACCTACATGGTATTATACTGATAATTTTTTGAAAATTTTCTCTGGTAGTTGCTTCAAGAAAAGTATTAAGTAGTTGTTTTATTCATTATGAAATTCTTATTTGTTAACTGTACATTTCGTCTCATGGTGCAATTCTGGCCGACATTTGGGTCGGAAAAATAATCCCCAGAATACCACACGAGCTTCAAAATTATCTGGCATTTCCCCCCAGGGTTCCCTGCAAACCCAAATAGCGCAATAATCACGAGCGCGTTCGCGTGATTTTTTAACCTGAAAAACTTGACTCCTTCATTTGTTTGCAACGAACCTATCGGGAAATACCCGATAATTTTGTGGTATTATAAGTGACAATTCGCTTAGAAATCTGTGTGAAATTCACAATTGAATCGAACTCAAAGTGAGATTAACGATTTCGTGAATTCTCCGTATGAGACAACGTGCGCTTTATTACTAATTCTGGTAACACTCATTTCTCAAACATTTAGGAAATGTGTGTTTTTTAAATGTAAATTGTGTGAATATATTTACAGATAATAATCGGTTCCTAACATCACTATAAATAAATTTTCATTTTTTAAAGTATCACCTTACTCAACGTCAGGTTTTATTTTTCATTTATATGGAAAGAATGAAATAAAACCGGTAAATATGTCCTACAACGTACTTTTGCTTGGATTATTGTACGTATGAGGCTTAGCTATATTATTAATTATATGATGACGGACCTAGGGTTTTATGTTGTTGACCTTTGCAGCTCGAAAGCTTCTTTAACTTCAAATACTACACACTCGGATATACAATTCAAGCGTGAACTAACACCACCAGCAACTAATTTATGGAAATGTATTGTAAATGTGAGTCATTAAAACACTAAAATATTTGGAAGAAAAAAATTACAGTTATTACTTAGGTTCCTTAAAGAAGGAACGTACTGCTGTTCCAAGGTTGGCAACGCACTTCGTACAACGCACGAGCATTCTGGCAGTGTACATGGGTATCACTTAACATCACGTGAGCCTCCTGTCCGGTTGAGCACCGGAGAATCACGTATGTCAGGCACATAAGACTGATAACTTAAGTCACTTATATGGAAAAACATTTATGAGACGCAAATTGCGATACCTCACACTTACTAATTACATATTATATCGATCATTATAGCTGTAATAAGTTAACTAAATAACCTTCGTTTTATTTATAACATAACTGCGTATAAAGAGACGTATTTCAGGGACGTAAGGTCAATGTCCTTACACCGGTTTTCGCATCCAAAAAGCTCGAAATTATGCAATTTAGGGACTTATAACCAGTGTAATTATCGAACATACAAAGTTGAATGCAATGAATTATGTATATATATGTATATTGGGTATGCAGTAATACAAATGGTATTGATTTACGTAATTAATATTGATTAAATTGGATCTCTGGGCATTATTTTACACTTCAACTATATATTATTTACTCTACAATACATGATTAGTTACTAAACAATTTTAGCCGCACTATGTTTGCTTTGAAATTAACGGATCACGATGATATGTTTCGATAATTTGATAAAAAATTCGTGGTAAAAACTCAAAAGAAATTACTGTTAAATATTGATGTATAGATGAAACAATAATTTGAATATATCAAGACGGCGTTGTATGTTTTTGACCGGGTAAAAATTATTGATGAACAGACAGTATTTGATCAGATAGATAGAAACAGGATAATTTTATCATACCACTGATAGATTAATCATTATAGCGACTAAATGATGTATCAAAATACAATAAATATAATACTTGATACGTCTTACGATTCATAATTATAGTAATAATTGACAAATTTAAATCGACTAATGAGCTCACGTACAAGGCTGTTTCGGTTTTTATCCCTTTTTTTGTCATTCCGTCAACAGTTTATAACACTACTAAACCAATTAGTTAAAAAACGAAGTAACAAATTTTAATCCAATAGTAAATAAAGTTCTTCTAGTATTCCTAATTTTGTATATTGTATAAAATAAATAATATATTATATCTTTGTTTGGAAGTTCTACACATTTATGACTCATGATCACTCCAGACAAAAGAATTAAACGCGTTTACCTAATCGTCATCAATGATTGTTTTATATACATATATAGTTTTTAAAGGTTCAGAGTCAATACTAATCACTTAATGCGACTCACATATGTCAAATCCAACATATTATGACATATAGGATATATAATGTTAAGTCTCAACACTTTTTACTCTAGACTTGTCGAATACTTACAAACCAGCTACCCTGGCTTCAGATAGTAGCGGTGCGCGGTAAAATTTGACTTAAAAACGCTTGTATTGAGATAATATGAATTAAGCACAAGTATCTAGACTTTTATTTTAATGGGAGTAACGTGAAATTGTATTTGCTATCAAACATGTATCTAGAATGTCACAGATTCCTAAAATACACTTTTACCTACTATATAAGAATGTTCTGATATACTTTATAGTGCAGATTAAGAGCACATAAACATGTGTGTTTGTAATAATATTTTTTAAATATTTATGGAAGGTTTTAGTGCAGTTTTTACCCGCTGAGTTAATTTTGAACCATTTCGACTTAAGGAACTTTCAAGCCTTCTGGCTATTGTGACTGCTATTTAACTTCAGATGAGAAAAATAACAGAATAAATTATCTCTTAATGTAAGAAAATATATTGACACAGGTTTGTTTGCGATGTAGCTTGTATGCCTTAGTATATCGAGGCTTTGTAACGGTACAAGATGTACACAATACAAAGAAGATGTCAGTAGGGCAATTGCAATTTCATCTTCAATAGCCACATAACTGTACGACTCTTTTGAAGTTAGCTCAGGCTTTGTTGACATTGAGGCATATTAAATACGTACGTACGTAGGAATGCCATTGCTCTTGTCTATGAAGAATTAAGGAAATAGATTAATAAATTTAAGCCCCATAGAACTTTGTTAGCAACATTGTGTTATATCTTAAACGTGTAAATTTGTATATATAACCTATTTTAAACACGGAATGATTTACTCAGGTAAGTCACAAACTTAGCATGAAATATTGACAGTATATTTCCGATACACGAAGATGATAATCTACTGTAAATTTATATTTATTCAATTTATTTTTCCGGGAGGCTAAGAAGTTTAATGGCAATAAGAGAAGTAGGGACACATCTTTTAAGACCTAAATTTACGAAAAAGAGGCTTTAAAGTAGACTGCAATCTTCCGGTAAAGAGTTGCATCCAAGAAACCTAAAAAAATTAATATGAATTGTTTACTTAATTAAAACCGACTGAATTAACGCGAATGAAACCAGACACCGCTACGGGGTACATACTCGGATAATGTTTGAATCGTAATTACGATGTGTCAGGTACACGTTTTAGCCCTCTGGCATGAGAGTGTCCATGGGGCGGTATCACTTACCATCAGGTGAGCCTCCTGCCCGTTTGCCCCCAGTTCTATAAAAAAAAACGTATTTAAAAATGAGTATAATTTTATTATCACGTTTTATATTTAGGGCAGCCTTGCGTTGCCTGCATTACCCATCCCTCATTATTTATCTAATCCGAGGTGGTTCCCCACATATATTTTCATTCAGACATATAAAGAATATATCTTATTTTTAATAACTATTTAAATGTATACTTCGATTTCTTATTACATTTTTCCTTTAACGGAATAACTCGTTAAGACACCAGATGAAAATAAATATTATGTTTTAATAATCAAAGTTTTTGAATAACAATTCTTAGAATACGTACTTAATATAAATTGTTAAAATTTTGCATTTTTCTTTGTTGGATGTTCGTAGGATTGTAATTGCGTTTAAGTTGAAGGGCGGTAGGTAAACGCCCTATTTACTGCCCTCGACTTTGCAAGCCGCTGGAGCATTACATGAGAATCCTAATTAATTTTAACTTATTTTTTCCAATAGTCGCTTCAGGTATGCGCTATGATCACGTCTAGAATTTTAAATATTTTCAATATCGAATTCAAACTGCATTTTGCATTATTGCGATCGTTATATTTAGAATAATTTCATGTAGATGTCATAATTTTCATTTTATTACGTTTCCATTTTATCATGCATACAAGTGACAAATTTTATTTGCTGGCTTGACAAAATGCATTTGTGGTTGTTTTGGCGTTACTACGGCGTAATTACGATATATATACTCGTAATAAAGATATTTGGCTTATGGGAGTATAAAAAATATATTTTATCGAACTAAATCACAATTTTCATACATTATTGAACTATAAAATTTGGACTGTCGGTGATCATGGCTCCTGGAAAGCATTCCAAAGGACTCTTCCTCAAATGCATAGTTTATATTTGTGAGACTGTTTTAAACCCCTTTTGTAGTCGTGACGCAATTATAAAATGTTAGACACGACGTTTTAAAGGTTTCGGAAAGCCCACAGAGTTTCTTATGAAAAATTATTGTCTAGGTATATAAAATACACGTCGTCACGAGATTTTATTTACTTGTTAATAAATACAATTCTCATGGGTATTGTAAGGTAGGTACAAGTATTTGCATAGTTTATAATAGAGACAGGTGTGAACATTGACAACCGAGTTAATCATAGTTGAGAATTCCACTAGTATTGTTTACTTGAAGTGTTAATGCACTCCGTGGAGGTCATTTACTCGTCAAATTTTATTTGTGGCGCTCACATTGTTTTGGCAAATTTTGAGATTAAAATCATTTAAAAATATCCGTCGCCTTTTTGGGATGTATCGAATAACAATAGAAACATCTAAAGTGCGCATCACGTCCATAGTTTTTGCGAGCCGAAAAACTAGCAACAAAAACTTTGAATTGGTCGGTTTTTGCTTTGGGTATGATATAGAAATCAAAATATAATTTTGTCGCGGGTTGATTACCTTGACAATGGTACTTATCAGGATAAGAAGGAAGTTACGCTATAATGATTTCAATTATAGATAAGAAATTCAGATTCTAATTAAATAAATCAATTTTAATATAGGGGGTTAAAGTCAACATTTTGGCGGACTTACACACCTCGTGTCTATATCGTTATCTACGATTATATACATATAACCCTGAAAAGTTTTAATTAAACGCGCTAATCTCACTACTGGTTTTAATAAGAATATTATTTGTTAAAGAATTGATATATAAAATTAATACTACTACCAATAGATCATGCCCACTGTCCGTGTTAGTCTAGTGGCTCATCCCTGAGGTCGTAGGTTCGATCCCAGCTGTGCACCAATTGATTATATCTTTGTGCATATTTAACTCTCGCTTGTACGGTGTAGGAAAACATCGTGAGGAAATCAGCATGCCTAAGACGCAAAAAGGTGACGGCGTTTTAGAAAAATGGCCACGCAAACGATACAAAAACCTAAAGTTTTTTTTTATATCTTACACAAATTACAGCTAAATTATAATTTGTATATTGCAGTTTACCTTGAATGAAATATATTCTAAGGCTCATAACACAAATGATGCAAGTGACAAGTTGTATAATTGCTATTTATCGCTGGAATTTATGTTGTATATGTATAATTAGAGTGTAATTTAACAAGTTTTTCACGGATTGTTGTCTTCGTGACATCGATGCAGTTGACTGCTCAATTGGGTTTGTTGAAATTATTTTCTACATTAATGCGTTATTTTAATTTTAAATGTGTATAATTGAACCTATTATACTTTTGCGATATGTTTAAAAGGAGTCAATTATACCTATTATAATAGTGTTTGACGTGTTATTGGCGAAACAGATGAGTATTAATATTCTACACTGTTTCAACACAACAAGCATCTTGATTAATATAAATAAAAACGCCAAGTTCTAAATACTATATAATTTCCAAATAAATTTAAAGTTACACATTATGCTACCTCATGCAATCGCATTGTCAAAAGTTTGACAAAGGAACATTTATACGGACATCTGCAGTGTTCAATCACAGCCACTTACACTACTCACACACTCAAGAATTCTCATCGGTAGAACTGCACAAGAAACCTTCCCGCGTCATAAGAGCTTTTGTTTTGACTTAGCTTCATCGCAGCCTTGACATTTACCATGCCACTAGCCCCAACGGCGAAATCTATTATACCGCGGTACTGGGAGGTATGGATATCTTGCAGGAACATTAACATTTTCTAAATTGTATCCACGCCGCTGTCTCACCAACTCGCCAGCCTCCAATTTTCTAGGCCTGACAATCTTGACCACATTCGATTCTAAGATGACGTTGTCGGCAGCAACTGCCTCGTCCGGTCTATATTTCGTTATTAGTTTTGATTTGCTTTTATGATTATTTATGTATTCTTCATTGAGTATATAGTCGCGTAGTTTCCCTGTTTGTTTATAACTGGATGAGTCTATTTCTCTCTCGTATCCGAGTCGGTCTCGCGGCGGCGCAGGCGCAGCGATGCTCTGAGCGGAAAGCGCAACAAGGAGCGCGAGATACGCGTACATGTTGCGGTGTGTGTTGACTGTTTGAGCCGCGCGCGCCATCCTTACTTTTTATATAACCAGCGATCGATAATACGTTCCCAATTTGAAGAGATTTTTTGTACTTACAATTTAGCCGCTCATGAACTTGGTCGGTTATTGTTCAGACGGCCCAATATTAGGCGAGTTGTGATTTGAGGCCATCGCACTTTCATCGCAGACACTGCTTCGATTTTGTATTATAAGATATTATTATATTAAAGATGTTCTTGGTATGTTTATGAACCTTGTTCCACTTATTCTTTACAGCATTTAGCTGCAAGGTAATTATCACACGTGTGGTTAGCAAAGATTGTATTTTCTTAAACCGAAGATTTAAATAATATAATTTAATACACATAAGTATTTTTAATAATATAATATAATTTATATAGATGAATCAGTTGAAAAACAAGAAGATTTACCTCCCGTGTTTTGTTTAGAACTGTAAACATTTCAATGCCCTTTTTCAAGGTTATATTTTGATCAAAGTTTTTAAATCAGTAAGAGTCGCTGAATATACAAATTAAAAATTACAATAATTTAATATAAGCATTGAAAGTGTACGCTCATTATAAGCATAACTGTATAATTTTGGAATAAATTATACACTAAACTGGGTTTATTTTATTATTACAAAATATATTCAAACTTAGGCATTTAAAAAAAAATTACCTTTGTATAAAAATATATATAAATTAGACAATTTATCATGCAGTTGAAGGCATTACTTTAATATACTTTGTGCATGACCATTTTAAATTGCTCATTGATGGCTCAGAAGTTTGTACACGATTTATTCAAGGATTCTAATGTAGTATAAATGCATTTAACGTAGTTTCAGAAATAATTCGTCTAATATCTGATATGAAAGATTATGTGCTTCCTAAATAAAGATCAAAATTAATATTCACTTAGCGTACACCTTTGTTATCACCGCCTGAAGTCAATCCACATATTACGGAACTGAAAATGCGAGGTCACCCTCAAAATGAACATAGATAACATACAGGAAGTAAACATCTTTTATAAAGCATTAAATATCGACGATTACGTAAAAAGCGTCAGAAAAGCGTAGATGGACAAAAATTTACGAGAAAGTGAAAAGCGGTATATTTGATATTAAATATTGAAGCGTATTTAAAGTGAAAGAAATCTACGAAAGTAGATAGCCCATTAACGTTGAATTTATTACCTTAGGCGACATTAAATGAATATAACATGTAAATGAGACGCGATATTGAACGGATATGCCTTGTTCATACTTTCGATATAGCGACGGTGTTTTATCTACACCGGATTTTAAAAGCAGATTTATCAATGCGGTCTTTGTTATACTAACGGATGCAACTATTTCGGAAACACGGAAACATTATAAAGTTATTAATTGCGTTGTAAAACCTGACTAAACTTATGACGTGAAATCGTTGTGTGTCGAAGTGAATGGTTAAAAAATTGTTAATCAGTGCTATCTCTTGGGAAAATAAAAAAAATCAATTTTATTAACAAACGGCCTATGCGCGCGACTCGCTTTCTAATCACACGCTGACAAATTACGATCATATTTCAAATTCCTTATTACTCGTCTTGAATAAATACAAATTGATGTGCTTTGTATTTAAATATATTTCTGTTCTTGAACTTTGATGTACAATACAGTATTATAGTAATGGGAAACAATTCATTTAGAGGTTTTAATTCATGCTGCTACCACCAAACTACACGGCGCTGTGCTGTAGATTTATTGGCGATAACTGATGCCTAACAACGTAAGGTTACATGGACAATACAGAGTCATCTCTTCCGTGATTTTATTAAATAGTTCCGCATTAATCAAACACTTGTTGCTTGAATATTAATAAACTTGATTGGTCACTCATAACTTATTGGGCTGCAGGATAACGGTTTAAACATGATAATAATAATAATATTATGGTGGCGTAACAACCCTTTGTTACCTAATTTGGAAAAATCAAAGTACATATAAATTACATAGAAGACAACTTTTCCTTTAAAGGAATTTTGAATCACTCCCTAATACAGAATGATGGGTTTACAACGTAGATTTTGGTATACACTATTTAGTTTTAAAATAAGACGTGTCCTAAACCTAGACATCTTTTTGGATACTATTAACTTAGCTATTGGAACAGATTAAAAATATTATGGAATACTAAATTAAGATATCTTCAAATTTCGAACAGATTGGACGCCGTTGACAATAGGCGTGGTCTTTAATAGTATCCCTGTCATTGAAATGTAAACAAAAAGTCACCTACGAGTAAACCTCGTATATCAGCACGCGGCGCGTTAGCTTTGTTTTTAACTCGCGGGTCATTGATTCCGTATCATGATTCGCCTACCGTAATGTCCAGTTTGCAACTGGCATGTTTTATTCATTTTTACCTTTGTTCTTTATTTAAAATTATTTTTCTCTTAGTATTTAAATGCGGATTTGCATAAACTTGTAGAGTAAAACTCGTAGTGTCTCGTGGACACTAATCATTCCTGTTATCGCGACAGGTTCCTGGATGAATACCTATTTGCATATAATTAAACATACAGAATATATGGCCGTACAGATGTTCATTGTCAATGGTATTCATTTTTATGATAAAGAACGGCGTAAGTCGGGTGCCACGTGTAATTAGTTAACAACTATTTAAGGAAGCGTAGGTTAGTGAAATAAATGTACATATTTAAATCTTTAGTAAATGTAAAATAAACCGCATTTTTTAATTGAAAACTCTCAGTTAGACTAATAATTTGTATTTACCTCTCCTCCAAACGCTAATTCAATTCATTGCGAAGACTTCGATTCCATTAGGTAACTACTACCTTCAAATTATTAACCTCTAAAGGTAATTATTATACAAATTAAAGGCATCATTTTGTCTGGCCCTCACCTCGACACAAATAAGGGCAAGAATAGTGAAACTTTAATACTAGACCATAAATAGGTCATGATTTTTTTAATTTTTGTTCCCAATGGTTTTTTATGTTTTGTAAGGCTTATAAGCTAAACAAAAATGATGGTTAAAGATGGGAAGGAAGAACTATTTGATACCTTTTTCGTTCTTTGTATCTATGTAGTTTGTCACATAGTCAAAAGTTCTTTGTTTTAAAATTGATACGATACGTTTTATCTACTTGTTGTAAGTTATACCTAAGCGCAAGTGATATAACTAACAGGTCATGGTTTAGGTTGATTGGAGATAGAGATTCACTATTTCTCCCAATTGAGTATGATATGGAATGTGTGTGCCTCATGCTCCAATAAGGGCTATTGAACTGAATATTAAGCAACCACTAATAAGTGTAAATTGTTCAGATGCCATGGGACTCCTCAGAAGAGCAGATGAATGCACCCCGTGAAATGCGCATCCATATTCAGCGTGTGATCCCCATCCCCAATATTCCACCGCCGTCAGCAAACATGGGCCCCTTCGCACCACCACCAGTGCCACAGAATCAGGAACAACAAGAGGTAACTAAAAGAGGATTCTTTACAATAACACAATCGATTAAAATAGGGTATTATAAAAAAGAAATAAAAAAAAAAAAAAAAAAAAAAAAAAAAAACCCGTTTTCCGTTGTCAGGGTTTTTTATAAAAAAAGACCCGTTTTCGTTGCGACATAACATGAAAACGGCTTGACTTTCTGATTTTTTTTTTATCATATTCCTTGAAGTACGAGGGATGGGTTCTTGGGGGGGGGGAGAGAAAAATCGGGAGAAAAAAATTGAGGTGAAAACTCTAAAAACAACACTTTTCTATGAACCCCATACAAAATATTCGTAATAATACTTAAAAGTCAGTTTGAACTTTAATACCATATTATAAAGTTCAAGTGTTAGTGGAGGGGTAAATTTTAATTTTTTGACATAATGTATTGGTTGTCTTATCAACTTTCTTTTTTTATCTTACTAGCTAGACCGGTATCCCAAATAGCATATTATAAGTATGCATTACAATGTGTAAGATTTGAAAACCCTTTTGAGTAAAAAATACCTGTGTCAGGGTTCCCTAATAATGACTGATTACATTAATCGTATCCCACGGATTAACGTAAATTTATCAACTTTATTGATAATTGAGGGAAAGATGAAGATGATGTCTTTACTGCCTAGCGATTCTGTAACTCACTTTTCGAACTCACACAGCGGTTACAGTGGTAACGTCACATTAGTCGAAACATCATTTACGCTTTGGCATTCTCAGAAACAATAAACTACAAACTCCCTCCTTATCAGAATGCCAAATCGTAAAATGACTGATTTACGACTGATTTGAGCGCGACCGCCGCTGTGAAAACCGCTGTGTGAGTTCGAAAAGTGAGTCACAGAATCGCAAGGCTGTAATATCTATTCGATAATAGTCACTACTAAAACAAAGCTTGGACATAAAATGTTACACGTCTCATTTGAGCTTCATTTTTTTAACGTAACGTCACTACGATGTCGTTATACCCTGAAACGCGCTAACAAAGTTCTACCGGCCGCTAAAGATGTATACAAATTCTCGACCTTAGCCAGGGCCGGCCAGTAGGTGGTTTGATTGGTTGAGCATCCTCCCTATAGTTTGTAGGAACTGTTCACCTTCCTGCCGCCACATAACGTATCCAAATGAATTCGCGCACGGCTTCTAATGTCCATTGGGACTAGCGAACTACGAGTACTTGGAAACTATTATTGAACACTAGTGAATTCGCAGACACAGGTGCACTTTCTAATTTGCATTCCATATCTCCGACAGTTTTACTTGATGAACCGAGGTACGGGTGTGTTCAAACAATGCCAAAAACTTGGGCTCTTATTTATATTGAAAAATGGGATTTTGCACCCAATCTCGTGATCTTCTGTAGAACATGATAACTGCTAAACTAATGAGAGTGTTACTATCAAATGTATATTATTTAGATTTTTGGTATAATTGTTTGTGGCTAAATCAACTCAGCTAATAATATTTAGTAACTTAGTCAAACTTCTGTTAGTTCTCTTACAGAAAAGAGTATTAATAAATAGAGATTTTAAGAAAAATATTTAGAATTTAAGATAAAAGAAGAATTGAATTAACTAATAACTAACTACTATTAGGAAATTCATATAGCAATATCGTTTTAGCGTATGTACCCAGAGGAACAAATGGGTGCGCCCCGCGGCATGCGCGTTATCGCAGTCCCTGCCCCACAGAACATGGCCCCACCACCAGAGTCCATGGGACACTTCGCCCCACCCCCACAGGCCCAGCAACAAGATCAAGACGAGGTAAGTTCCTCGTCATAGTACTATCATTAATTTTGATTTTTTTAAATAATATTTATGTCAGTTTTGATTGTGAAACGTATTTCAATATAAGTCAGCGGGGTAAAAATAACTTCTTTCTTTAATATAGTTATGTCTAAGTTACATTATAAAATTATAATATACATATTACAGTCACATAAATCATTATTATTTGCAAATTACCGCAACTTAAATCAACTGTATTCCAAAAAATAACTAGAGATATCGTGTTCACAGTTAGAAATCTTAATCGAAATTGAACTACACAGCAAAAATATATGACCTAACCATGAACCGTTAATTCATATCAGATATCGGAACAATAGAGCGACAATCAAACTTTAGTCCCGTTATATTATCTGCTTCCACATCAGTAATTACCACCACTTTAGCACTTTCATTCTAAAAGCGTATTTTGTATCTTAATTGAGGCAACGAAGATATAAATAGTTCGTTTTGGTTAATGCGTTTGACTTAAATGTTATAATATTTTAAAATATCAGATTAGAAATATCTTATTAAGGGACTTCATATGAAGTTGTTTTTATCTATATCTTTACAAATAATATAAAGAGGAAAGATTTGTATGTATGTAACGAATAAACTCAAAAAGAAACAAATTTAGAAATTCTTTCATCATTAGAATGCTACATTAATATTTATATCCATTGAGAATGGGAGAGTAGAAGTACGCACATTTAATAACACGACATCTATTAGCTTAGTAGTCAATTAGTAAGGATCAAATCAACTTCCAAAATACAGTAAATTAAAATGTTTCTTTCCATTTGTTTACGATGGATACCAGCCGCGTAATTTACGTTTCCTTCAAAAGTAGAAATGCAAAGTGCTCCAATTTTTTAAATAATGTTTCCATATCAAAAACAAACAAACGCAGGGTTAGTATATATAAGGTGACCGACTATACTCATTTACTGAGTTTTGTACTTGTTTACCGCAAACCGTACTCTTTTCAAATCCTGTACTCTGAAAGTACTCATTTGTATAATTTTATACTCATTTGTATTTCTAAAACATTTTTTAGATTATTTTAGCTGTCCAAGCACCAATGCTGCTGTTGAAATGGGATTTTCACTAGAGAATGATTATTGAAGCAATGAGAAGTCGCAACTTTCTGTAAAAACAAATTCTGCCATCTTAACAGTCAACTTTAATATGCAAAATGAAAGTCGTGCGGATGTAGCTACATTATTAGACGTACATCCTCGTTTAGCAAAAAAAAACACTCCGAAGAAAAATATGTTTTTAAAATAAAATAAAGTTTTTTCTTCTTTCTATTTTTTCACCTATGAAATACTTGCAAAGTGTTCTCTTTTTGAACCAAAAATAGTTGGTTACCTTAGTATATAGGGTTTTCTAGCAATCAGTTTAGCCAGTTTTCTCATTGAATATAAAAATAACTGTGTTAACACCTCCACTTTTGTAGTTGTATGGCCCTTATACCTCAGTAGTACGTAGTACATTTATAGTGTTATAAAGTAATTAAATTACCTTGATGTTTTAAAGTTAAGTACGATAATATTCGAATGATTCCAATGCAGACGCGGAGCTGTAACGTGAAGCAATGCCTCAAACATCACGCCTATCGATTTTACATCCTCTTCTGACCTATTTTTGATAAACCTATAAATTGCTAAGGTTTTCTTGCCACTTCGCTCACCAGGTTAAACGATTACCAAATGATATGTTCTACCATGTCTTGTATTGTCTTTAATCCATCCAATCTGACTGAAATAGTACATAAAAATTCTGGAACATTATAGAACTCAGCTTCGATATTTAATATCAAATTAAGGGAATGATTAGGTTCTTGATCTTTTTAACATGTATTTACATTATGAAGCACTGAACGTCGTCGTAATAAATCACGTTTCAATTCTCAAAATTGTTCAAGATATTTCTGACTACGTTATTACAAAACAAATTAACAAAAACAAGGCAGTATATTCCTTCCTAGTATTTTGTAAAGTATATGTAATGATAAAATTCTTTACTGTAATAACAAGATTAATATTTTAGTATTTAATGTGTACTCAAATTCATAATAAACATGCTCTGTTTAACCATATATAAACTATTTTAATTTGAACAAATGCTTTATTTAATTTTCATAGTAAGGTAGTTTAATAAATTTTACCTAATTTTTCAGCAGCCAGCTGTTCTTCATCAATTTGTCCCACAAACTGCACCTACACAAGAATTAGAACAACCTGAGGTATGAAAACCCTTTAATAAGATATTTCCTTGTAAACATTAGAACAGTCGTAGAAATATTCCTGTTCTATCTGCCCTATTTTGGGCAAATGGCAAATGGCAAAGCACTTTTAGCAAGCACAATTTTACTCGGTTGTAGCTCAGTTATACAAAAATCCAAGAAATTTATTTTCTGGATTGTTTTTGGTGGAATAATCATAAGAATATCGACCAGTATAGGCCATTATCAAATCTTGAACGTTTCATTATTATATATACTAGTACAAAGAAAATTCTTGCTCAAAATATCTAAGCCTATAATTGACTTTCAAAGCAAGTTTCCGCACGAGCTTTCCGAACCTACTTAACCGAAAATTGAGTACGATAGTAGCAATAAATCGATCATAAAATGAGTGCTAACAACTTTAAGCTAAGTTATTGGCACATTTAAACGATTTATATTCGATGCCTGAGGCTTAAACTTACTTAAACTTGAGTAATTAGGATATAAGCTGGACCTATGTTCTTTTCCAATTTATTTATAAAACTTTATCATAATTGGTTGTTTATTTTGAACGTAGAGCCAACATATGGCCTTTTTAAAAAGTGAGTAGTTATTTTTCGGATAAATTCGATACCAGCCTTGCGATTCTGTAACTCACTTTTTTCATTCTGAGCATGCAAGCAGGCATTCTGATAAACAATAAACTACAAGCTCCCTCCTTATCAGAATGCCAAATCGTAAAATGACTGCTTCACGACTGATTTGAGCGCGACCGCCGCTGTGAAAACAGCTGTGAGAGTTCGAAAAGTGAATTGCAGAATAGCAAAGCAGCTAGGAAAATATGTTCCTAAATATTACATCAATTAATTACAATATTTCCTATAACCAATGCGTGATATCTCAAAAGCACAAATCCCCTTTGTCAGATTAATGGAACTAACAAATACTGTACAAACTAAACCTGACAGAATTTATCTTATACTTTACATAAAAAACCAGGTACAGAAAATGCAAATGGAAGGCAGCCCGGTACAAATGAATCTCCCGTACGACCTCACACAGGACGACCTGAGATTGATCCATCGCACGGCGCAGGACGTTATTGATAATCAACGTAGGGAACAACAAATCGACAATGATATGCAAGAGGTGAGACTGAACATAAAAAGTCAAATTTCTTTATCAATCACGAATAAAGTTTCTATAATACAATCACAGAATCGCATATAATCGTATTATTTATTAATGGTATACCATACAAATAAAATCTGTAAGTAAAGGAATAATGAATATTTTTCTAAAATTACTTTAATAAAAGATTCGTTCCGGCGGCTTTGCGATTGGCTTTTTAAAAGTAGGTACTTCAAGATAATGATGGAATTATTAAATTCGGAGCATTTTTGTAAATAAATTATAGTATGAATCGTGTTTATCAGAAGAAGTTTCTTCTTTGACTAAGACATTAATTTGTCATTGTAATAAATTCATTAAATTTGATAGTCGTTTAAGGCAATCTTTTGTTAATCTTAGATAAAATCTAAGGTGTATTTGTAGTATATATTAGTTATTGCCTCATTGGTCTAGCGAATAACATGTACTGCAGATGATATGGTATCCGATTTAAACAGACCAAAAGTATATAGCCATTGTGTTTTTACTTTGTCAATGCTATACGCTAAGAAGACGGTGATTGAATACCCTCGTTCCTCGAACGACCACGTGACGCCGCCTAGCAACTTAAAACGTAAATAAATAAACATAACTCTGCAATAAAGATACACTGACCGTTTACTTAAGCCGCGGACTGCCTATTTACACAGGACATTTAATATTCAGTTTCAACAACCCTATCGTGTATATGAAGGTATATTTCAACGCAAACGAAATCACCAGCCAATATAAATTATTTATGTGACATGTCGTCTGTCTACTTAACCAACTAACCCACGGCAAACTATTTTGAGAGGTTCACTAATGCTTCATATCAAAGATATTCAAATTGTCAATATTGTTTTACGAATTACAGCGATAGTTGTGTTTGTGTGTATAACTTGTAAAAAAAAACAAGTCTCGCAATTCAGTTCTTCTATCGTACAAAGTTGTGAGATTTATGAAATACCAAGTCGGTTAATTTATTCAGTCCCTACATAAGGGACCTTCTGTTATTGCGTAATAAGATAACCTAGCAACATCTTAAAGTTACCTACGAAATGTAACAACACAAGAAAAACATATTATGTTAAATTAGATTGTTTCGTTTTTCCTTGATTTATACACTCAACACTAATTGTATTATAAATTTGAATTTCTATGTCTGCTAGAAGTGCCTTAAAGTTTTGATGATGAGTCAGTCAGTGATTGAGTGACGAAATTAAGAAACTTTGACTAGTTAATATTCTTAAACTTAACCTAAAATTTGAACCTACTAATTCCATTAAATTTAAAATATAACGTGTTAATACTGCTTGCTTGGTTATTGCTCAGGCTTCTTTACAACAACCCTGAACTGTCTCGAGAAAATGATGAACCGTGCCACTTTTTTGTGAGACCGTGCCCCCAAAAATTCTAATACTTTAAAATTTTCTTCTTCATCGATTTTAAAAGGAGATTTTTAGTGTGACCATTATATATCTGAGCAGTCATGACCTTGTGGTCAGCGTGCGACTCTCATCCCTGGGGTGCTAGGTTTGAACCCGGCTGTGAACCAATTAACTTTCTATGTGGCATTTAACACTCGCTCATACGGCGAAGAAAAACATCGCGAGGAAACCGGTATGCCGTAAACCCAAAGAGTTGAAGGCTGATCAACTATTTGCATATTACCAAATGATTTTGATACAGAAATCATAGGCCCATACCTTAAAAGTCGCCACTATTTGTATCTAACAATTAATTAAATTGTTAATGTATCTGTTACAATTTGATAATATTTAAATCATACTTTAAATCATATGATAAGTTAATGGTATAAAAATAGCGAATATTAAGTTTCTTTATATGATAAACAAATAAAGGGCTGTCCTAGAAAGCATAGACAATTATTTTGCATGAAATTCGATATAAATCGGATCTGTTTACGATAAAGCAATTCTTATAAGTAAGGTCGCTAGGGAACGGAAGTAATAATTTATTAATGTTAGGTTGAGGAATATATAAAGGACATTTTCCACCCACGCTGACTTAAGGTTTAATATCAATTATTAAGACTCGAACATGTTTAATATCTTATATAGATAAAATAATATGCTATATAATTTAAGTTTTATTGGATATCAATTACCAATTTAAAAAATCCTTTAATTGCCATAAAGGTACATTATAAAGTAATTAAAAGAAATGCTAACAAACTAGTATGCGAATTTCAAATTATAATTAAATTATTGTCATATTCTATGTTAGTTTGTCACTTATAAGCGAAGAAGTCCGTCCAATTATAGAAGCACTGTGCCTTAAAAAATCTCATCACTAGATTCTTTAAAATAGGTATAGGTAGAAGTATATTTCGTTAATAGTTTTCTTGTCTTCAAATATTTAATTATAAACATAGGTATTTAGGTAATGAATTTAAAATTTAGCTTGGAATATGTTCTATATTTACATTGATGATGATTAATTTCTTCAAAAATGCAGTTAGTATTCTGGAATATTTAGTTATATAGCGCGTCTTTCAGGTAAAGACAATAATGAACACTCTGGCGGCCGCTGCTCAAGCCGATGCTGAAGAGTCTCATAATGAAGAGCAGCAGTCAGAAGACCAGTACCAACCTCAGGAAGCGCCTGCGCAGCCCCCGCGCGCACCACGCACGTTGCTTCTGCCACAGGACATGGATGGCAGGCCGCATTGTATGTCTTTTTAACCTATAAATTCTCTACTACTCAATAGATATGGAGTAACTTTTACTGTGCATTTAATTTGTGATTTCAAATTTTAATGCGCAGTGTAGGAATAAATAATATATTATTATTTTTGTAAGATCTATAACCAAATGGTTAAAGTACTGAGCCTAGAACTTCGTTACCTTAGCAGTTCTTGACTCAGTTTTAGACATTTAAATGAGACCGATTGTCACTTTTTGCAATGGTTTTATAAACCTTTGTATACAAAAAATTTATACGGCACCTTTACAGAAATAAATACTTCTTCTAAGTTAAATTTCTTATAAAACACATCAGAACGTGACTTTAGTCAGTTATACACTATATGTATGAAAACCTATTCCTTTGTACACAAAATAACACAATATAGCGTGGAAAAATATCCAATTACGACCATCGACTAATTAATAATAAGACAATGTATCTATTCTTTATTATCAGATTTCTTGGAATGTTATTTATTCAATATTCTATATATTTTAATAAATAATAATGGACTTTCTAATATCAGTCTGATTTCTAGTAAATGTGAATGAATAGCAGGAATAGTTGTTAAAATTATAATTATGCGTTTAATTGTTATTTATTTGAGTACAGAGGCGATCAATTTTCTTTACTCTTTTTTATTGTCTTATGTACCCACAGTAACTATTCTAAGATCTATATTAAAGATTATAAGATACTTAAAATCGAGGTTCGGCAAGCTTCATGTCTGTATGTAATTTTATCAAACTCGACGCATTCGAACAACAACTTTATACCAACATTTTTCGTTGTATTCTCAATTTTTCTTGCATAGGTATATTTTTTTACATTTATTCCTTAATCATTAATAATGCACAATTAAATGTTTAAGGAATAGATGTACCAGTTACTACGTGTAAAGCAAAATTCAAAGTCACAAGGTAATAGTCACTCTAGAGCAGTCGGTCTCGACTGCAACATGGGGTCCGTCTATGGCGACCTTTATATGAACAATATAATAATTTTATGATAAAGCTGATGGGTGTTTGCTTAAACGTGATAATCCCAAAAACTCCTGCTTCAAGTCTCTTATTTTAATTACTAATATACATTTATTTTCACAGATATGCAGCCCCGCTCTGTCCGCAGCGTAGACGCTTTGGTGCCCCGCGAGAAACGCGTAAAACGCTGCGCGTGCAGCTGCGGTTAAATTGAAACCGGTAATTAACATTCCGTCCAATAAATACATTTTGTTAAATGGTTTCGGTAACTGTAAATAAATTGTTAAAAATACCGGTGGTTTTTAATTTGTAATCGGTTTCTGCCGACCATTTTCTTTCAGTATTAGAATCAATATTTATAGATATAGTTGTATTTCATTGTTATAGTATTATGGGCCTTAATTAATACGATTCAATGTTTAAAATGTTTGAATTACCTACATTTGTGATTTTAAATTAAATTCTAATTAGTTTTAATGTTGTTTTAATGACTAATCCACGTAATTGTTATGTTGAGTCTACAAAGTATTACGCATTTCTTGCACTTTTCCATTGTTTATTACTTAGATTGCCTAGAAAAGCCCGCCAGTCGTTCTCTTTATTATTCAAGTTTGAAGTATTAAATAATTATATAAGATTCAGAGAGCTCTTGAAACCGCAAGATAGTTTTAAATAGATTACGCAATACTTATTGGAGAAACAAATTATTAATTTAGTGTAAGAATTGCAAGGGCGATCTATTTCAGGAAACACAAAAGAAGAAACCATATTAATATAAATATGTATTTAATTTTGTCTTAATATGTGACATTATAAGAATTATAATTAATATACTTTGACAGATATTAGAGTATAGTTACAATAATTTATATCGAAAATACAATATTGTAATGATATTAGTAATTCGATCTCTTTAGTCAGTCTTCAGAGAATCATAAAAATTTGGGTTCACGGAAAGCCTGAAAAATAATTATTGTGAAATCTACTTTCAAAGTATTATGCCCGATACAAAAATTTATTGATAAAAAGCAGCCCCTTTATAGACATACACTGATAAATAAATATTTATTTATCTATGATATCATATGGTACACTACTTAATCTGTACTAAAACATTTTTATATTAATATTTTAATTCATTCTTACAAAAAGCCAATAGAATGTAGATGACAATGATAGGCTTGTTTATTTAATAAATGTAATTTACAACCATATATTATATTGATAATCATACTGTAAGCCTCTAAGACGTGTTTGTGTATTTAAACTTGAATTCATTACATCATTTACATAATGCCGGCCATACACGCTACGGTCTACCGGAGAGGTCCACCTGTGCAGGTATGCCTGCGCAGGTAGACCGGAATGTGTGTGGGAATAGACCTGTGCAGGTCTAATGGCCCTGCGGCCGGCATTACAGGACCAAATATTCTACTACTTAAATCAATTGTTTAATTTACTTCAATTAATTATCGTTTAATCTTAATGAAGTTTATCGTAGATAATTATTTTAATAGTCTTGTTACAAAACAGGTATACCCAGTGGATCACCCAAAGTCCCCGAAGGTTGCTTTGAAGTTCAAACTAATCGGCAATCCTATTTACCCCTAAACAGAGGTCCGAATAGTAAATTACTAAGTCGGAGTGTGTCAATGCAGTCAGCGTTACTGTAGAGAGATGTTTTTGTTTATTCCATGAGTCAACATAGAAAATAGCTTTACAGTCTTTTAGTACACAAAGGTTATATCACATTGTTTACATTCTGAGATTTAGAACCCACAATATTGTTACGAGCTTTTAACAATAATATAATATACAGACAGACAACTAAGAAATCTAGTATCAAGCCTAAGATAGCACTAAGAAGAATGTGAAAATAATCTTGACTCCACAGCTTTTTTATATCTTCACTTATCGTATAAGCATTTATAACTAAACATACCAAAAACGTTATAATTGTTAAATCTTTGGCATAATATCGAATCTTGTCAGTGAGCACTTTGTACAACATTTTGAGATATAACGCGGTCCCAACAATCATCACTGGCCATCTCAATGCAACACAGATTATTAAATAAAACGTCCAACAGTCGACAAGTCTTTTGTATACAACTGTTAAAGCATACAACCCTGCGATCGGGATCGGTATTAACCACGAGTAGCACGTCATTTTGTAGAAATCACTCTTATTCACTTTCACGACAACTATAATAAGACTCTCGTACATATGTTTTATGAAGAATATTATTAAAATTAGTATCACAAAGTAGGAGTAAATATGTATAGTCAACAATAGGTCGTTTGTGAACGTATCTGGCATGAATTGAAAAATATACATATTCACTATTCTATCCAAAAGGCGTGCCATGGTTAACTGCATTAATAGTTGATTCCTGAAGTTCCTTCGCCATCTTTTAAGTGTAAATGTGGCCACAACTGATACTACGACCAGCAAGGAGGCCAAAACACATTCGGAAATAACGAGAGCACCGTAAACTTTTATTTTTTCACTTATAAGATATTCATCAAATTCGTTTAGGTATATTATTGAATAATTTGCCGTATCGTTTGTCAAATCATCCATTCTTAAAATTCACTTTGAATTGATCGTAATAACTATTAACACGTTACACTGGGCATAGAGAACTACAGAATAACCAATACAGGAAAATTATGTTCAATATTATTCATATAGGAATTTTGTGGTTTTATTTATACGTCACATTGTTAGGGTTTATACAACGTACGTAACGTATATTATATTTCAATTGAAAAAACTATTTATTGGTAAAACAACAATCCAGTTGCGCTTCAACCCAATATGGGTCATGGTTTCAGATTACAACTGTATCTTTCATATTTATTTATTTAATAGGGAGATTTATTGCCCTAGGTCTGGAACAGTTTAGTCAATATAATATCTTGTTATAGTTTTCACTTATAAGTACCGGTAAGAACAGTGATCGCCTAATGTCTAAGCACGACCCAATCTTCAGTTCGTGCGTTGGATATCGAATGGATTTTATATTTAATTGATATTCTCATACGGTGAAAATAAAAACTACGTGACAAAACCTTAGACCCAAAAAACGTGTGTATGGACTGAGCGCTTGCCTATAAAAAAAACAAGTGAATGTCATAAACGTCGAATAAATGCAGCTAAGTGAACAATTGTCTCAACTTTAATTTATAGAATGCATATGGCCGTTGGTCGATCGATAGTTTTAAAATATGGGTCAAGCTCACTTTATGACGCGGTACAGCCAGGTGACTGACGCGTTAACTTGTTTGCGAACATTAATAGATCCCTATACATAATATATGCAAAATTCCCTTAATATCTCGTTAGCTTGGGCCACGTAAAACATTAGACCTACCGTACTGTGTAAAGAAATTTTATATGGTATACATTTGCTAGAATATAATTTATTATTATCGGGTGTGTCGTAATTTTTGAACACCTAAGGTTTATTTAATTGGCTATGTGGTTTAAATGGCACATGACATGTTGTAGCCCGTAGGTCATTTTCCATTTCCGGCAAAGTAATTATGGTTTGGGTATAGACGACTGCAGAAATCGGGACGTGACGACCCCATCGCCCACTGGTGAAATAACCTGTGACAGAGGTTATTTCATCAGCGCAATCAGTCAATCCCTTCCTAGTGGGAGTGCCACGCTGTTGCCTTCGGGCTTCAGCCAAATGGGCAGGCACGATCGGGGCAGTACCACTGTCTCTCAGAAAACCGGCGTGAAGTGATGCAATAGGTTCGCCTTATTGTACTCGCGTTTCGTGCGGTGAGAGAGACTCCCGGAGCCCCCCCCTATAAGAAATATGAAGGTGCAGAAAAAACAGAATCTACCCCAGGGGGGTACCACATGCGCTCGCGGTGGAGAATCCCCCTCTGGGCGTTCAACACCGGGACACTCAGCACCCGGTGGTGGACGCACAGGCTGCCCTTCGTATTCTGGGGGGGGGGGGGCAATTCTGCGCTCAACAACAAAAACAGTTATCGTTCTCGGGGCAAACGGAGCAATTCAACAAAGGCACCCCCGTCCACACTCGCCGTGGACTTCACAAATGTTAGGGGGCTCAATTCTAACATCAACGCTGTCCACTATCATTTAGAGACTGCGAAGCCGGCCTTGCTCTTTCTTACCGAGACTCAGATATCCTCCCCGGCTGATACTTCCTACCTCTCCTACCCGGGGTACAAACTGGAACGTGGAGTCTCGGACTGGGGTAGACTAAATCTAGTCCAATTTAACCCCAAGAAGACACAAGTATGCGCGTTTTCCGCAAAAAAATCTCCCTTTGTCGCTACTCCCCTCTTTGAAGACACTCTCCTTAAAGCCTCAGCTAGCATCGGAATACTGGGCGTTGACATATCGAATAACGTTTAGTTTCGCGGTCATCTGGAAGGAAAGGCTAAATTAGCCTCCAAAAAGCTTAGTGTGCTCAGTAAGGCGAGACGGTACTTCACTTCGGGCCACCGCTTGCAACTCTATAAAGCGCAAATTCGGCCCCACATGGAATACTGTTCTCACCTCTGGGTGGGAGCTCCCCAGTACCAGCTACTTCCACTTGACCGTATTCAACGAAGAGCGGTTCGAATCGTCGACGACCAGTCACTTTCCGTGCGGCTTGATCCCTTGGCGTTGCGTAGAGATATGTGGGGTCTCTCTGCATCTTCTACCGCATTTACCATGGAGAGTGTTCAGAGGAGTTGTTCGGTCTAATACCTGCAGCTGAGTTTCATCATCGGACGTCAAGGCAAAATACAAAATACCATCCGTATTACCTCGACGTCCATCGTTCTACAACTGAGCGTTTTCTAAGGCAGTTTTTGCCGCGCACCTCCACTATGTGGAACCAGCTGTCCACTGAAGTATTTCCGAACCAATTCGACTTAGAGTCCTTCAAGAAAAGAGCGTACCAATTCTTGAAAGGCCGGCAACGCACTTGCGAGCCTTCTGGCATTGTGAGTGTCCATGGGCGGCGGTGTCACTTAACATCAGGTGAGCCTCGTGCCCGTTTTTCATTTCGCTGCATAAATAACTCCTAAGTATAGAATAAAGACTTATAAGTAGTAGTAGGTACTTTCGTTATTCTAATATCAGAAATAAGCATTAGTAATCCATTCTTCAAATAAGTATCTTGAGGATTGAGCTATTGTTTATAACAAATCTCACTTTCCGCTTCAAATCTCT